TTCCACCGCCCACTCAACCACTCACTCACACGTAATCACACACACACACACACACTCACTCACTCTCTCTCTCTCTCGCGTGCACGCACGCGCGAGCGCCAGTGTAAACACACACGTACACACGTGCATACACACGCACTCACCCAATCACATATGCACTCGCTAAACACTCATCACTATGCCTCATCAGGTGTCTGTCAGTGTCTGCGACTCGCCGACAACTCTGTCGAGGAGTTTTTGACTGAGACGCAAATCGTTGTGTGTTGACTGGTCCAAACGTTCATTCGTAGTGTCAGTGACGATCATCCAGATATGGTGACATGCACATGAGGATGCTTCTGGAGATCTGCACTGGACGACACAAGCACTAGTGTACAAACGGATCAAGTGACACTGTCGACATTTGCATAATCTGCAGAACAATGCTGTCTGAACGCGCGTGTACACTAACTGTCATGTCGTCCAGTCGACTGGCATTCGAAGCGGACGTTGACGAGTGTGATATGATTGGAACTGGTTGTTGATTGTCACCAATCAAGCATTGGTTTTACCAGGGTATATCCTGAGAGCGATATAACCGAAAGTGCTTCACTGGTAGATATCTTTGCAGACCGGAGAGTGTTGAGCACATGATATGTGGAAGAGAGTTACAACAACATCACCACACTACAACTGCCACTGCAACTACAACGTGATGGACACAGGTCGGGTTGAGACACTAGGCTCATTGTATCATTCTGTGAGGATGGTGAACAGCATGGTCGATGCAGTAGGTGATACGACGGTCGATTTGCAGTGATGCCGTAGGTCGATGTGTGGAATACTCTGAGTGGAGTGTTTCAGGTGTGCCAGTGGTCGAGTCGGTGATGTGTACGTGGCAGAGCGAGGTTTGTGGTGGAGTGGAGCATTGTTGCTCGTTACAATTGTCAGCGAGTATGACGAGCGTGACCTCTGGTGAAGCTGGTGTTGAGTGAATCGAACCTGTGCCAGTGGACTTTGTGTTGGGTGCTCGTGACTGGTGAGTGACTCTGCTGGATTGGGGTGACAGATGCAGTGTGTCTTAATCTGACGTTGGTTAACATGTCGGTTGACAGGTTGATTGGAGGGAGAATGCGTGGCTGTGAGACGTGCATTCAGTTAGTCGGACTGAATGGTGAGATGATTGTGGCGTTGACTGGTTGGCAGCTGTGTTTGTTGATGTGTTGTGTTTGTGTGCGAGTGTGCGCGAGCGTCTGCGCTGTGTGGATATGCATGTGAGTATGAGTTGGACTAGTGTAGGAGACGTAGTTGTAATTGTTGTGTGAGTTGGCGCGCGAGGATGTCACAATTGTCGTTTCCGTGGTGTAGTGGTCATCACGTCTGTCTAACACACAGAAGGTCCCCAGTTCGAGCCTGGGCGGAAACATGCTTTTCTAATTGCACACACCTGATGAACACACAACTCTCGGACACACCGACACTGCACCACCATCCGTCATCTACACCATACGTACTCGCTCTGTCAATGTGTACATCGACACAGCTGCTCCGTAACCAACGCTGAGCGGAAGTGAGTGGCAACCGGACAGTCGCGTGTGCACTCCCTCCGTTCCACCGCCCACTCAACCACTCACTCACACGTAATCACACACACACACACACTCACTCTCTCTCTCTCTCGCGTGCACGCACGCGCGAGCGCCAGTGTAAACACACACGTACACACGTGCATACACACGCACTCACCCAATCACATATGCACTCGCTAAACACTCATCACTATGCCTCATCAGGTGTCTGTCAGTGTCTGCGACTCGCCGACAACTCTGTCGAGGAGTTTTTGACTGAGACGCAAATCGTTGTGTGTTGACTGGTCCAAACGTTCATTCGTAGTGTCAGTGACGATCATCCAGATATGGTGACATGCACATGAGGATGCTTCTGGAGATCTGCACTGGACGACACAAGCACTAGTGTACAAACGGATCAAGTGACACTGTCGACATTTGCATAATCTGCAGAACAATGCTGTCTGAACGCGCGTGTACACTAACTGTCATGTCGTCCAGTCGACTGGCATTCGAAGCGGACGTTGACGAGTGTGATATGATTGGAACTGGTTGTTGATTGTCACCAATCAAGCATTGGTTTTACCAGGGTATATCCTGAGAGCGATATAACCGAAAGTGCTTCACTGGTAGATATCTTTGCAGACCGGAGAGTGTTGAGCACATGATATGTGGAAGAGAGTTACAACAACATCACCACACTACAACTGCCACTGCAACTACAACGTGATGGACACAGGTCGGGTTGAGACACTAGGCTCATTGTATCATTCTGTGAGGATGGTGAACAGCATGGTCGATGCAGTAGGTGATACGACGGTCGATTTGCAGTGATGCCGTAGGTCGATGTGTGGAATACTCTGAGTGGAGTGTTTCAGGTGTGCCAGTGGTCGAGTCGGTGATGTGTACGTGGCAGAGCGAGGTTTGTGGTGGAGTGGAGCATTGTTGCTCGTTACAATTGTCAGCGAGTATGACGAGCGTGACCTCTGGTGAAGCTGGTGTTGAGTGAATCGAACCTGTGCCAGTGGACTTTGTGTTGGGTGCTCGTGACTAGTGAGTGACTCTGCTGGATTGGGGTGACAGATGCAGTGTGTCTTAATCTGACGTTGGTTAACATGTCGGTTGACAGGTTGATTGGAGGGAGAATGCGTGGCTGTGAGACGTGCATTCAGTTAGTCGGACTGAATGGTGAGATGATTGTGGCGTTGACTGGTTGGCAGCTGTGTTTGTTGATGTGTTGTGTTTGTGTGCGAGTGTGCGCGAGCGTCTGCGCTGTGTGGATATGCATGTGAGTATGAGTTGGACTAGTGTAGGAGACGTAGTTGTAATTGTTGTGTGAGTTGGCGCGCGAGGATGTCACAATTGTCGTTTCCGTGGTGTAGTGGTCATCACGTCTGTCTAACACACAGAAGGTCCCCAGTTCGAGCCTGGGCGGAAACATGCTTTTCTAATTGCACACACCTGATGAACACACAACTCTCGGACACACCGACACTGCACCACCATCCGTCATCTACACCATACGTACTCGCTCTGTCAATGTGTACATCGACACAGCTGCTCCGTAACCAACGCTGAGCGGAAGTGAGTGGCAACCGGACAGTCGCGTGTGCACTCCCTCCGTTCCACCGCCCACTCAACCACTCACTCACACGTAATCACACACACACACACACACTCACTCTCTCTCTCTCTCGCGTGCACGCACGCGCGAGCGCCAGTGTAAACACACACGTACACACGTGCATACACACGCACTCACCCAATCACATATGCACTCGCTAAACACTCATCACTATGCCTCATCAGGTGTCTGTCAGTGTCTGCGACTCGCCGACAACTCTGTCGAGGAGTTTTTGACTGAGACGCAAATCGTTGTGTGTTGACTGGTCCAAACGTTCATTCGTAGTGTCAGTGACGATCATCCAGATATGGTGACATGCACATGAGGATGCTTCTGGAGATCTGCACTGGACGACACAAGCACTAGTGTACAAACGGATCAAGTGACACTGTCGACATTTGCATAATCTGCAGAACAATGCTGTCTGAACGCGCGTGTACACTAACTGTCATGTCGTCCAGTCGACTGGCATTCGAAGCGGACGTTGACGAGTGTGATATGATTGGAACTGGTTGTTGATTGTCACCAATCAAGCATTGGTTTTACCAGGGTATATCCTGAGAGCGATATAACCGAAAGTGCTTCACTGGTAGATATCTTTGCAGACCGGAGAGTGTTGAGCACATGATATGTGGAAGAGAGTTACAACAACATCACCACACTACAACTGCCACTGCAACTACAACGTGATGGACACAGGTCGGGTTGAGACACTAGGCTCATTGTATCATTCTGTGAGGATGGTGAACAGCATGGTCGATGCAGTAGGTGATACGACGGTCGATTTGCAGTGATGCCGTAGGTCGATGTGTGGAATACTCTGAGTGGAGTGTTTCAGATTTCTTTTTTCGGTTTTTCTTTCATGTTCTTTTATCAATATTACTAATATTTACACTATGTCGCTTTATAACTGATTTTTTTTTATATCCGTATAATTAGCGCTTACATATCGTATGGTTAATTTGACCATTCTTCTTCTAATGTATAATCTATTACTTATTTCTTTAATGAGATCATTCTGTTGTGTGTAATTGAAAAAATTCTTGTATTTGATATGTGCATTCGGGTAAGGTTTTGTATCAATATCAACAAATACATTTTCCGATTTTATTTCTTCTCTTGGTAATACTTGTTTTTGTTTTCATTTCAAATGACCTTGAAATGAATATGAGATTATTATCACTGGATCGTATGAACTGATGTGAATGTACTGAATTTTCTCAAATTCCTTTATTAAAGCGAATGCTAAATCTTATTTTCTATAGAAATAAAGGTTATTTAGTTGTTTATGAATATTGTTTCATCTATTTTCCTACTGTTTATCTACTTGTAGCTTTATATTACTGCAAAGTTATCACCATAGATCGATCTATGACCGAATCAATTTTTACATGTTTTATGAGTAACTTACTGTATAAGATTTCAACAGTTCTACTACTTTACACTGATTTCTTATGACTACGTTAACACTAATCGGATGAGATTTTATTTCAAAAATCTTTAATGATCTTTAATAAGTTATTTAGATACCTTCAAGTGTTGGTCCAGTCTCAGTGAACAATAAAAAAAATACTTCTTACATCATACTTAATTTGAATACATTATGATTTTTATAGCGAATTTTCTAAATTTCATGAAATATTTTCATCGAAAAAGATTGAACTACTTATAAGTAGTTAAACAGCCATTCATCTTTTAATTGTTCACAGTCATTGGTTGGTTGGTTGAGTTGTGTGCAACACATAAATATACTAAACACTTGGATTGATAAACAGACATAATATATATATAAATGTGTATTTTTTTTACACTTGATTTATTCATTTATCATCAGAACAATTGAATGATTTATTACTGATAGATATTTTTTTCTATTAATTCTCAAGTGTCTGTTGACATAAGTAAACATGAAATATGAATATGGAAATGGTCTTGTTGAACTTAGTCACACTGATTATCGATCATATCGGTAAGTAATTCCATTATGATTATAGATATTTTTAACTTTGTGTATGATTTGAAAAATAGTTAGCTGTTTACTTGGAAAATGGTATTTTTATTTCTTTAGCAATTACTTTGAAATTCAGTGAATGAATTCAGTGACTATGCGTTATTTTTCGAGTTGATGTATTGACTAAGGATTAGGAGATTGTATGAACTGTTTATTTAAAAGTGAAATAGCCTTTTCTTTTCATATGTTTCACTGATTATATTCTCCATGGATTTGGCAGTTAACAAAGTCATGAGTGTTAGGGACTTGAATGAAATGACAATTTAGGATTCCAGTTAAATTCTAATTTTCAATTTATGTGATAATTTACCATTAGAATTCGACTTGACATGGTCAAGAGTAGGTGGAATAGCACTGTTTTCATCCATGAAGTCATTGACGAGTGGACTTAGCCATGTCGGTAATTGTTCACTACCTGGTTGGGGTCCGCGTGATGATAATAATCGATGGTTAGAGACCTTGAATGACATGGCTCAAAACCGTTTGCAATGGCGCCGGTGCATTTATTCTTTGTGTTCTCTCAAATCCTAATCTTCTGGATTCTTCAACACCTCTAGTTTCGACTCTCTAAACTTTTCTCACTGAATCATACTTCTTGAATAATATCTTCTAATCCTAACCTATCCGATTACTTCTAATACCTTTACTGCCTCTACTACTATTGGATTTGAATTGACAATTACATCTCTGTGCTGATGTGGTATGGCGACATGAACTGATTTACTTACGCACGAAGTTCTACATTGCTTCTGACTGACTGATAGCACTGTATTTAATGTAGACAGTACACCTTATCGTCACGCTTTAATTTTACAAAACAAGCAGATTATTGGCTGTTTTCTTTCATATAGACCTTTTGGTCTTTTAAAACACTTTAATCCTGTCATATATTCGTATGTGACACTCTTCTTTCTGGTTGTGCCTTTCACTTAGAACCTACATAGCCACTACAGCAGGAAATATTTCGAATAAATGATGATATCGAGTAGTTCAGATTGTATGTAGTCTTATTGATAACGAAACATAACAGTTTCATTGACCTTGAGTAGAGTAAGAATCTCTTTAGTGTCATAATTATTTCTTCTTCCATAAAACGTTCCACTCATAAACTGAAATAATAAGCCTTACACTTTCAAACATAGAACACTTCATAAAGTATTTACATATACTTAGCCAGATCATGTTTTCACACATATGATTATTGTCCACTGAGCCATTTTCATATTTTATCATTAGTCATGTTAATACATGGTACTTTTCGTATATATACTATATTCAGTTTTGATTTTCTGTTCAAATATCAATATTGGAAGTATACTGAATTATGAATTTCATTTCCAAGATGACAATACTATATATTATCTAAAGATTGATTAAAGTTAAACATTCATACTGTTGAATGCCGGTTCATTGGGTTCTAAAGCTGTGAGTAGCAAGAGTTGTGGATGGGCAATGCCATACATGAGTCCCATACTACAGGACAAAACGGTCATACAGTGGTTTAACACTGACTCATTCATCATTTCATTGTATACATGATTTGTCATATTAATAATGAAATCTCAATTACAGTTATTTACACGTTTACTTAATACAAAATAAATAATATAGATTGAATATAATGTCAGTCAATCATTAGTGACATGTTTGAGTAGATCATTAATAGTACACAGAATATGGGCAAAACAAAAAGACAAAGACAAGTCTAATAACTATATAGAAAGATTAAGGATTCCTTTGTTGTCAATCCAAATTTGCATTAAAGATAAACGTGAAAATACTGTTGCTTATTTTTTTCTGTCATTTCATTGATAGTATTGTTGGTTCGATCCCTTGGTTAACATGAAGATTTTTATGAAAATGGCTTGACAGATTTTTCGATTTCATGTTAAGACCTAATCTTTACTGTTCATCTATGATAGTCTCATGACTTTCGGTGGAACAGTACATGAGTTCAAAGAGGAGTTGTTGTATTATTGATCTGATTACTTGGTTAACATGAACATTTTTTTATTAAGATGACACGACATATTCAGTGTAGATGTATGTGCATGAGTTTATAGAGGAGTTGTTGTATACTATTTGTCAGCATTTCACCCTTGTTCCAAAACATTTTGTACTGACGAAGTAACTTACTTGTCGTTCATTATTTCATTGGCTAATTATGAATCTAGATTCATGTTGATCTACGTCTAAATTGTAAGCGTTGTTAATCATTTTAAGGTATAAGTAAAAATGGTGTCTTTGTCATTTCTAGTGTATAGGAAGCTATGACATGCTATAACATTAGAAGTATGAAAGCTTACTTGTCTTAGTATAAAAACTTCAAATTTTCCCTCGTATTGTATCAATGCTAATAAACTTTTAATCGATTCTTAAGGGTTTTGAATATGTATTAGTTTTAATTACAGGAAAACTTACCCATTAAAACACTAGATTCAGAGAAAAAAATATGTAAACTAACCTATCTTTCAATGAAATGTATCAGTTCTATTAATTTTATTCACTGATTACCTTCCTATTCTGTGTCACTAGTGAACTTTTATCTCTATAAACCCATTTGAGTTTTTCCTGTTTAACTTGATCCTCACTGGTTGGATTGAATTTGAAATTCAACTATTCACCTTGTCATGTGTTGCGTAGTATTATTAGTAGTATTAGTAGTAGTGTAGTCAAGGAGAACACAGGTAAGGCAACCGAATTGTCTTAAACGATAATTACAGAGTTACTCAGTGAAATCGGAAAACCATATCGTAAATCGTTCATTTGCAAAATATCAGTTCATCATATCCAACTGGACTGTTCCTGTTACAAAACATCAATACATTGTCACTATTATTCATGCGTTTCATACAAATTCCATTGTGTTCTAACTCTCCGTTTCTTGATCTTCCCCCATCTTCTGCTGCCAGCCATTACGTTGACACTCACGTCATATACTACTTATAAGTAGCTCACACCACAGTAGTAGTAGTAGTAGTAGTAACAGTTTTCCCTAGTTATTAATCTTCATTTATTTGTCTAATGTGATGTTTTTTGACAAAGAATTCCATTTCTTAAGCATCATATTTTCCTATTTAGAAAAACAAATTGACATAACCCTCTTCTGTGATTTTATGAGTATACTCAACTACTTACAATAATAATAATAATAATAATAATAATTATTATTATTATTATTATTATTATTATTATCATTAAAAAGACATACTATTATCGATTATCATTGTGGGAAAAAAGTTACGTATTTACCATTGTACAACTCTTATGTATGAATTTGTTGCAAAATAAGAAAAACTGATCATTGAACTAGTCAGTCTAATCCATTTGCAATTACTGTAAGGAGGATTATCGATATGTTTCTACTGTGATAACTAGTTTAGGTTCTTTGATAGTGATTACATAACAAGCTGTGTCTGTTGTTTGTTTGCTACTAAATAACTTGATAATGTACAATTTTAAAACGTATTTATGACAAGTTTGTTTGATAACCAATAAATCAAATCATTGTACACGTGTTTCTTACCAACATACAGTTGGTAAACTTCAGTATACTACCTTAACACCTTACACATGTTACCCTTGGCAATGCATAGACCGCTGGCCAGAAATCTTCAATATACTCTGTCCTGGACTCCACATTCTAGTTGCTTCCAAGTGCTGATCGGTCTTTTGAGGTCTGCCTTCTATTCTCGGCGTTCTTCGATCTTCCTGTTTTCTTCTAACTTGAAGATTCCAATTTAGGGATTGCTTCATGAATCAGTTCAATTATTTCTGCAGTAAGTGCCTTAGGCTCTTCCAGCATCGTTTTCCAATCCCTTCTTCATTTTGAAGCTGGTTCACTCGCAGCCGAATAGGACTGTTGTTAATAGTGTCCAGTAAACGACACGATTTATAAATCTGTAAAAGTAATTCGAATGTTATGTTTAACAAACAGTAAAAATATTGACATACAGTGCTTAGACCGCATGAAATGGCAATCAAAAGTTAGTTGTAAGAATGACAAGATTAAACGTAGCAAGTACTCGTTTATTTCTGCGTAGGTTGTAAAGGATGGAAAAGTCGCTATTATCTATCTATATTAGATCATAATCCCAGCCAACAGTAGCATGAAGGATAATCAAAGTCTATCAAGGTGAATTCCTGTTGTTCTGTCGATACAAAACTGTGTAACTAGTAGAAGGATTGATGAGATGCATTAAATATGCAGAATCTATTTACAATTTGTAGCATTTACAGTCTCGTTTTTCTCAACATGTGAACTATGCATTCACGAAGGCAGTTTTCTGATTGGCTAAGAATTGGTTGCAAATTCTTCACGATTGTCTTTAATCGCTAAAACCAATATTATATATATTACCGTAGTTCTTCAACAATAAAACTACACAAACTGAACTAAAGATTTCTTCTCAAAATACATTCTCATCAGATTCTACATGTCTAAGTTTATATTGAATTTTCGAAAGAGATTAGTTAAGGTGAAGGTCAATAAATCTTTTAAAAGAAATTTAAAGCATTTGAATTGAGAATCGCTAGTACAATAGAATAATGAAACGATTGTTACTGTTGATATGTTGATCTGTGGTGCGCGCTACTTATAAGTAGTATATGACGCGGGTGAAAACGTAATGTCTGGCAGCAGAAGATGGGGAAGATCAAGAAAGGAAGAGTGGGAACGCAATGGAATTTGTATGAAACGCATGAATAAGTGAAATGTCAGACAATGGATTGATGATTGATTGAAGATTTGCAAATTAACCGTTTACGATATGGTTTTCCTATTTTACTGAGTAACTCTGTAATTTTTGTTAAATACAATCCGGTTGCCCCACCTGTGTTCTCCTTCACTACAGATCATGTGGAATGAGCTTCTCAGATGTAATCTAATAAATACACATTCATTGAATTGAAAAATGAATTCGACTTTTCCAAATGAAAATGGTGTAATTTTACGCTTGCAACTATGGATTAAGAAGAATATGAGTTTAGTGATAGCTTAAAACTGATATTTAGAGGTGACTTGAAACGGAAACTGAATTATATCTGGAATTAAATAGTTATAAAGAAAAAGAGTAGAACTTGTTTTATTTGACCCTATCATCGTCATCATCATCATCATTATCACTGTGATATCTGTCTGACTGACTTGTACTTTAGTAATGAAATCATGAATATCCAACGGGGCATAGTATTATGACTAATAATGACTTGGATTTCTTTAGCTCCCAAAATAATTTCAATTGATAGATGAATACATCATCATTTTTAAAATGAATTATTTGCAGTCAGATTGAAACAATTCAGACTGAGTAATATCTGATGTGTATTACTCAGTAACTTGCGATTTGAACTCATTTAAAATGTAATTACGCATCTATAACTAACAGATATAACTAAGTGACTATATATATATATATATATATATATATATATATATATATATATATATATATATATATATGAAAAGTTTCAGAGGTTAGGCGTTAGACCGAAGATCCTGGGTTCGAATCCTGTGAGTAGCAGGAGTCATTAATGTGCACTACTGATGAGTCCCTAACCAAGATGCCAGGTTTTTGATGCTGGTCTATTAATGATTAGTCGATGATCTCAATAATAGAATCAAAACTTCAAATCAACATAAGGTGATCATTGTAAATAGCGTCAAATGACCGGATAAACGTGGGAAATCGTTACGCTTGCTTCTAAGTAGGCTTAAACTATTACGAGTTCACCTTAGTCACATAACGAGAAAAAAACAATGAACCAGCGTCCAACTAGGCTACTGTGATCCCTTGACCAAACTGTATCAGCAAGAAGTCTTGATATAGCGTAGAAATTGTATTCTACAAACACCCAGCCAGCGCACAATCAATCCAAGCACTCAAATTGCGTTTATTTATACGCTATAGAGATGTCCTTGGGACAGTCACAAAGATAGCACACTAAAATGACACAGTGACTAATCACAACCAAGGATTTTCCTGGTGGAAATGTGATCTCAAGGTCAACTGATCGGTCCATGAAATAAATGCAAAATAAAGATATTTATCAAACGAGTCTGGGGATCTAACATCTCCAACAGAAATAGAGAACCAAGTTCATCAATAGTAAAACGCGAAATCGAACCCAGGCGTAAGATTGGCATCAAGAGCGCGTTTGTATGGAAACATTCTATAGAAACATTTAAGGATGAATTCTGAGGTTTATGGAAGTCTTGCCTATTCGTAGATTTATGTGTACATATAGAAACCATTTGTTATAACCTCAAACTTACCTCAGTGATCTTTAAGTCACTTTGTGGTCTAGCCTAATGTTACAATTTCCTACTCTTTCATGATTATGTTAATTTTCCTTCTCCTTCATTTACAATTATCACGTTATGTTTATTTGAACTTTTATTTAATTGACCTTTTATTGATTTTCATATAAAATACCTTTACTAGGTTGTTCGAAATACATAGTGCACATACATTACAACATTATTCAAATGAACTACTGTAGTGAACGAGAACGCAGGTAGGGCAACCGGATTGTATTTAACGAAAATTAGAGTTACTCAGTAAAATCGGAAAACCATATCGTAAATCAACAATTTGCAAAATATCAATCCATCATATCGAACTGGACTGTTCCTGTTGCAAGACATCAATCCATTGTCACTATTATTCATGCGTTTCATACAAATTCCATTGTTTTCTAACTCTTCCTTTCTTGATCTCTCCTCATCTTCTGCTGCCAGACATTACGTTGACACTCACGTTATATACTACTTATAAGTAGCTCACACCATACTACGACTTCTCATTGTTCGATCAAAATTTATAAAAGGGACTAATTGTTTTAGTTTGTATTTAAATGTAAAAATTCTAAATATCAAATAATTTTGTAAAGTGTCAATAATTTCGTTGCATTTACGGGGTCGTGAAAATTGTTATGTTACATGGACGGCCGTTTCGTCGTGGTATGGGACTTATCATCAGTGCGCGTCCGCGACTCCTGCACCTCGCAGAATTCGAGCCCAGGACCTATGGTCTTGCGAGCAAACGCCTAGCCTCCGGACCTCTGCGGAAATGCAGTGTTTCTCTTTATATAATAAGCAAGACTATTACATCCGTCATCATATCGGGCATTATCAAAAAAAATAATTTTTCTTATTGAAATTCTAACACAAAACAATGTAGTTTGTGTTTTAAAGCGAGCGAGCGAGAGAGAGAGATGGACGAAAAAGCTTTCGTGCGTAAGACTGATGCTCCTGGGCTCGAATCATGTGAGTATCAGCAGTCGTGGATGCGCATTGCTAATGAGTCCTATACCAGGACGAGACGGCCATAAAGTCAGTCAGTCAGTTACAACTTAGAACATCGTGCGTACGCACATAATTTCATGTTGCCATACCACATTAGCACACTGAGACGCAGATGTCAGTTCAAATCCCCAAGTGGTGTTAGTGGAAAAAAGAGAAGATTAGGGTTCGAGGATATTAGTCAAGCAGTATAATTCAATGAAATAAATTCAGAAAGAGACAACTAGAGCTGATTCCAAGTTTTATGATGGTCGTCTAGCAATGATTCATTCCTGATTTCAGGATAGAAATATATATATGTATACACTCGCATAAATTATTTTTGTTTTGTTTTTACTCAACTACGTTTTTGCACTTTTGTTTTTTACAGACATTTCGAGTTGGAAAATGGTATGAAAGTAATGATTATTTCTACTTGCAATGATAATAATGATAATCACTCAGTTTCGGATAATTTGGTAAGTTTTGTACATGTGATTGATTTTTACAGTTTGATTAGATTCAGTCATAAATGTATACTTTCTTATGCAATAATGATTAGATATCGTAAAGTAAAAAAGAAACCATTAAAAGTGTAGTAGAAGTTTTAATTGTCTGTTGGGGACGTTCGATTCTCAGAACTCACTTGATAAAGGTCCTAATTTTGGATCTTATGTTTTCTAGCATGGGCTGATCAGTTGACCTTGAGATTACATTGCCAACTCGGGAAATCCTTGGCTCCCATTGGTTTATGTGTTATTTAAGTACGCTACTTTTGTGGCTCTCCCAAGGATGTTTCTATCATGCATACATAAACTCGATTTGTGTGCTTGAAAACCTCATATTTTCTGGGTGCTTGTAGAATACACTTTCTACGTCTTGTCAAGACTTCTTCCTTTACTTAGTGAGACATTGGGACGCTCGGATTAGAGTAGCCTATCATGTCACTGGATCATTTGTCTTCTCGCTCGTTTACCGACTGAAGTGAACTCGTAATAGTTTCAAGCATATCAATTGACAAGCATAACACTGTCAAAATGTGAATAAATATTTAAATCAGTCATGAGTTTATATAAGAAATGTATCTATAATGACGCTAAACTAATGCAGACAGCGCTACACTGATGAGACATATTGGTTTATATAATAATCAAGGCCTATATTGCTTGGTGTTGTTCGCCCTTGATCGATTGATTAGCAGCTTAAACTTTTCATACTATCTATCATCAAGTGAATTCGTTAGAAGTAGATTATTCCAACAAATAATCTTAGCATATTGATCATTTTTAATCGACAGAACGCATTTTCAAATTTCATTTGATGCATTGATTATTGAATTGAAATAAAAGTAATTCTACTGAGGCAATTAGTTAATGAAAATGCAATTACTCTAAATGCCTGATGAAATTGGCGTATTTTTTTCCGTGTATTTTTGCATTATATGCTTACATTATATTGTTCAGTCTATAAGTAGTCATTATTTTCAATTAAACCAAACGATTTTTGATTGAACTGAAAAGGCTTTTTTTGTAATGAGTATATTCACATATATTTGGTTCAAGATCTAATTTATCTTGAGCAGAGATAAAAAAACACCATGGTCAAATATCAGGTTGCTGTTTAGAGATTATTTTGCATTCGGAAATGTTTGATTTATGTGACACAACGAAAAGATTCAATTACACTATATCGGTATATCTTTTTCAGTGTAAAATGCTTTATTTTTCTATCAGTTCACAATCCTAATTTAAAAGTATATTTAGCGCGCAACATACGCTCCAGTAGATAACTGTTACTTGTTAAACGATCATTCCAATTCTCGTTAAGAACATTAAGCCAAACATTGGAAAAATAAACCACGTGATATTGGTAGTGCTGTTTTAAATTGATTGTATGAGAGTGTGTGTTGAGAGTACCGAATGTTAGTTATTGAGTTCACTGTGCGACAACGATTAAGAGTACTGGAGCTTTGGTTCGTCCTAGACACCTTGGTGGTGCATATTCAAGGTTATACTGGAGATCAAGTTCATAACTTTTAGTATTGCTCACAAGCACCGAACATTCGGACAACATAGTTGGTTACACACATATTCTAGCGAAATGATCAAAGTTGGAAATGTGAACGATTAGATTGAAACTCAACGTTTTAAACAGAAAGCACTTGTCGTGAGTTACAATGGTTCTAGATTCAGTTGCCGGCGATATGCACTTTGCAGAGAAGTTTGATACTAGTATGAAACAACTATTCAGTACTTTCAGCTTTTCGCTGGCTGTCCAATTTCAGCTGGTTTATGGCTTCAATAATAAAATTGATCAGAATTAGTGAAGAGAAATAATTTTTTGACATTTATGTATAAAAAATATCCAATAATTATATGTAAGGTTTTTGTAAGTACAGAGCTGTGAAGACCGAAATCTGGAAGCCTCACCTTCTGGCTTTTTCAGTGGTGCACCAACACTGATTGGTTGGTGATTTCAATGTAAGATTTTATTTTGCAGTAGTGTCTAATTTGTATCATAGAGTGAATCTTACGATCCAGAAAAAAAAGCTAATTGAAATATACACTAATTAAAAAATTGTTTCAGATGATTTCATCTTTTGTGCAGTACAAAGTTATTATTAAAAAAAAACCCGTTAATATCAGGCTACATTCCTTTCAGGTTATAAATGTGTAGGTAGGTTGTTATGAATGACAGTAATTAATAAATGGTTGACTGTTCTTTCAATCAACCATTGTCATACATATTTAAAATATACGGATAACCTGAATTACAATATATTTTATTTATCATGTCACAATTGGACATAGTACGTCGTCTGGTGGATGATTTAAAAATGAACTGTACTCTTGTAGTAGTTTTACTGTATTTATTGACCTCTCGAATATAAGCAGTGACATTTTCCTTGTAAAATCACTTGTTGGCATTTCATTTATACTCTGTCTGTCTGTATTCACACTCGAGAATAAGTAGGATGTAGGATTATTATGCTAACAACGGATTCTGACAAATCATCATAATCGATATTTGAATATTTACAACAATTCAAGTGTGTCATTATTCATCAGTAAATATGAATTCTCTCTGTAATGAATGATAAAATCTGTTTAATCAATAAGAGACTTTGTTCTTTCTTCAACTTGTTTTAATCTGGTTGCAAAGTTTATGATTGCATCTAGTGTATATTTATTGCACAAAAATGTACTACGGCATAAAAGTGAGTTTAACAATTTACTTTCGGCCTTTATTTTTAAAAAAGGATTTTATTACTTCGCAAAAATAATGACTCATTCAAGAAATATTGTATACTTATTGGTAAGCATCTACTGAAGACATAACTTCCAAGTTTCGAATGTTGGTCTAACAGTGATCGATTCATGATTTCAAATGCGTGTAACTTAACAATCTTCACAACCCCGTAATGCAACTACCTATGCTCACTAGTGACTAGCTCCGTGAGGAATCTTCTCTGCGTTCTAGTGGGACGTCGTGACCAGTGAAGTTCAGCCTGTTCGGGTGCAGACAGTGTATGAAGTTGCGCAAGACCGTGAATTGATCGAAGTTAGACATTAACACCGTCAGATACCGGCTCAGTGGTCCGGAGGTTAGGTGTTCGCGCGCAAAACCGAAGGTCCTGCGTTCGAATCCTGCGAGCAGCAGGAGTCGTGGATGTGCACTGCTGATAAGTCCCATACCAGGACGAAACAGCCGTCCAGTGCGTGCAGAATTCTGATGGTATTCTAACATTGATCGATTCATGATTTCAGAGGCATAACTGTACAGATCAAAACATCACACTTCTAACTATTTATAGATTAGTTGACTTTGTGTAGAAAAATTCGAAATCTTAATTCAGATCTATAACTACTACTGTTTTCAACACGTATATATACATACGAATTTTCAAAATAAATTCGATGAGTAGGTAATATTCATAATAGATTTATGGGTACTGGTGCTTTGTATTGAATTCTTAAATCAGTCATTGTTAGACCACCTTTAGAAACCTGGAAGCACTGGACTACGTTGATCAAGGTTCAGTATTAAAACTTTTTTGCTGCCGACTCAGTGATCTAGAGGTTAAGCGTTCGCGTGTAAGATCGAAAGTCCCGGGTCGGGTTCCTGCCAGTGGGGTTCGTAGAAGTGCACTGCCGTCCATTGATTCCAGGTTTCTATTGGCGGTCTAACAATGATTGACTCATGATTTCCATGACTGAGCGATATAGCACACCCTCATGCAACCCTATTATTTTTACAATGGAACTGTCCTGTTATGCACAGTGTGAAAACCTGACTAATATTTATTTACTGGAGAGACTAACCGCTAACTGCTCAATTTTTTCCAACAAATATGTTAGACATCATTGATAATCAAATAGGATATATTTTTTTAGCTCAAGAGTATTGGTCTATTATAATGCCTGCACGAAATCGGATCAGATAGATTTCAAGTTGTTTAACGCATACTTACTTACACAGTCAGCCATTCATTCATTTCTTACACAGAATCGATATTTATGTCTAGGTGTAAGGACTGTCAATTTTTTTTAAATCAAATCATGATACTGTGATAATGATGATGTTGATCTAAAGTAGTAAATTCAATGTTTCAATCTATAGTGTGTTAAAAGTGACAGCAGATAAATGAAAAATAAAATCAAATTTTGACGCTACATTTGTGTGTACCTGTCTTTTTTCTTTTCTTTTTTCTTCAACAAATGTAGTGTAGATGTCATGTGTCACATAATAAGCATAGTGAATATATATTATTTGAGAAAAACAATACACATAGATAAAATAAAAACCAAAACAAACACTTTGAAAGTAAATGTCCAGAAGTTAGAATTTCTAATTGTGATATCAAGTAGTTGGCTGGTTGGTTGGTTGGTTGGTTGGTTGGTTGATAGACATTAAGAGGTGACAATTTTTCTAGACTGTCATTCATTAACTCTATAGAAACAAAAACCAAAACGCCAAAAGTGAATATCTAAGTTTAGTAGTATTCTTAGTTTTACAATTAATTATTGATGATTGAAGTGAATGTAGTAAGAAACAACTACTAAGAGATTGTAACAGTCATTTGAATAACTTTGACCTTGGTGCGTATATATAGACAGCGGTTCAATCAAGTTGCTACATCAAATTAACAACGGGTATCAGTGGTAGTACACAAGACTAGGTATAGATTGATGAAGAGAATGAATTCGTGGAATAGAAAGGCACGAGCTAATTTTAAAACAAACCATCTCAGGGAAGATAGAGTAAATGAATCTGCCCCCATCTAAGCCAATTAATTCTGAGCCACGTCACTCAATATCTCCTTTTTAATTGGTTACTATAATCACGATGACCTCAACGTGGTTGCATGTATTCAGTAGTACGATTCACTACAACAGTCAGTGATATTTTTTTACCTGTGATTGGTGATAGGCGATGGAAGGGTAGACGGGCTAACTCATTCGTAGGCAATCTATTCAGTTGCAGCTCAGAGAGAAAATTATGTAATTATAAAATTCGATAACATGGTTTACAGTTTCACTATAAATATTTTGCTGATAATTTCTAACTTTCACAGAATCTATGTTCAGGATTGCTTAGCTGTTGACTACGACTGTACGACATAAACTTAACTGTAGAGAGTGTATTAAGTAGTACAGTTACTTACTTACCTAATTACTTACTTACTCATACACTTACTTACCTACTCACTCACTTACCTACCTACTCACTTCCTTACTCACACATTTACTTACTTACCTACTCGCCCACTTACTTACCTACTTACTCACTTACTTACTTACTTACTTGCCTACTTACCGACTTACTTACTTACTCACTTACTCACTTACATACTTACTTACTTACTTACTTACTCACACATTTACTTACTTACCTACTCACCCACTTGCTTACCTACTTACTCACTTACTTACTTACTTACTTGCCTACTTACCGACTTACTTACTTAGTCACTTACCTACCTAATTACTCACTTGCTTACTCACACACTTACTCACTCACTTACTCACTTACATACTTGCTTACTTACTTGCTCAACCACTTACGTACCTACTCATACACTTACTCACTTACTTGCTCACCCACTTACTTACTTACTCACTTACCTACCTAATTACTCACTTACTTACTCACACACTTACTTACTTACTTACTCGCTTACATACTTACTTACCTACCTACTTGCTGACTTACTTACTCACTCACTTACTCACTTACCTACCTAATTACTCACTTACTTACACACCTACTTACTTACTTACCTACTTACTTACTTACTTACGTCTGTTACCCACAATGGAGCATAGGATGCCGACCAACATTCTCCAATCTACTCTTTCCACTGCCTTCTTTTCTAGTCCCAACCTATTGTTGTTCATTCTTCTGATGTCTATTTGCATTTCTCAGCATAATTTGTTGGTCTTACTCTTTTCAATTGGCCTTTAGGATTCCAAGTCTGGGCTTGTCTGCCGATTTACAGCTAGCTGTAAATTCTAATAACAGTTGAAGATTTTTAAATAAAAAGTGCATCATAAATTTTGAATTTTAAAGAAACCTTAAAATCTGCATATTCGACCGATGTATTCAATATACAGTGATTATTCCAAAATTTCTACAGTTTATGTGATTATCTGCTCTTCTATTAATTACATTTTTTTTATAAAAGTTAATATTATTGGTCGAACAATCCCCTTTTTTTTCCACATATTTTTAGTCCGCTGTAGCACTCAGTGTCAATGTTGGTTCATTTTCTGATCCTTATGAAGCTCAAGGACTTTCTCATCTCTTAGAACATAGTAAGTTTAATAATTCAACTTATAAATATTTCTTCGCATTGAATTTATAGAATTCTAGCTTAGTTGTGTCGTTCCGTATGAATCACTTAAGCAAAACCAACCTTTGAGTAAAACAGTCCATTGCTTAGAACATGATAATTGCACGAGTAAAAAGTCTCTTACTTTTCTAACTTTAAGCAGTTTATTATTGTTAAGAGAGATCACTATTTATTCTTTTATCTCCCTTATTAATATTCAGCTCACATCCGACATTATCGAATTCCATTGGTATTGATTTTTCTGTGTCTGTGTTCAAACTCGTGAACTATTTTTCAGACTAATTGGTATTCGATATTTTGGAAATTTTTTTAATTACAGATTAGGTTTATCACAATTATAATTTGTAAGATCGGCCGGCTTCCAACCATTAAATCAAAAGTTAAAACCTCAATCCATTTACTTCAATTTATGTAGCTGGATTCCTGCTACTCGCTAGATTCAAACCTAGGACATTCGATAAAACTACAATCTCCATAATACTCCAACGCAAAATCAAAAAATTTACTCACTAGTGACTAGCTTCGTGAGATTCCCGGAATTCTAGTGAGAAAACATGATCAGTGGAATTAAACTCTGTAACTACCGACGACAGTAGGGTGAGGTTGCGCGAAATTCTTAGATTATTCAGAGTTAGAGATGCTGGCTCAGTGGTCCAGAGGCTTAGCGCTCGTGCGCAAGCCTAAAGGTCGTGGATTCAAACCCTGAAAGTGGCAAGGTCGTTGACGCACGATGCTTATGAATTCCATATCACGATGAACGGGCTGTCTAGTGGTTCAAGGTTTCTTATGCTGATTTAACAATGGTTCATTCATGATCATAACAATATGTCTATAAGTTGAATACTCACAATCCTGCATGTCAAATGAGCTATCAACACACGCAATCAGTTTGTGATTTGTTGCGGATGTTAGATCCTTAGAACTCACTTGATAAATGCCTTGATTTTGGATTTCATGTTTGTGAGCATCGGCTGATCAGCTGACCTTGAGATTTCATTTCCCACCAGGAAAATCCATGGCTGTGATTGGTTGCTGTGTATTTTAGTGTGCTATTTTTGTGACTGTCCCAAGGACGTTTCTATGATGTATAAATAAACGTTTATCGACTAACGTGAACTCGCAATAGCTTCAAGCGCACCTACTGACGAACTTAACATGATTAATATTTCCAGTTCCTTTGTCCATTCTCAACCGATTGTGCTATCAAAAATATTTATCCAGTTAACAGTTAAATTTATTCTTTTAAATCACTGCTAGTATCGAAATTCAATGGTAATTCATAAACTTCGATTGATTCTTCATGTTAACTGCTTTACATTGTCTTACAATCCTCGGGAATTATGCTACATACATACGATCCATAAATCCAATACAAGAACTGAAAAGAAATACTTTTTTTATTTATTCTGATTGTAATGGAAACTCATTGTAGTTTACAGACAAAATTCACCCTGGAATCTTTGATCATTTTCCCTATTCAGTCGCTCAGTTTGATTGAATAACAAACGATGAACTAGTTAATGTTTTATAAAGCAGTCTTATTGTTGATAGAATCAGAATTAACACTACTTAAATGTCACAGTCGAAGATATTAAGATCAGGTGTTGATTTTTTTTAAAAAGAAAGATGATGATAGTTGGCTAATTATCGATACTTGCCAACATATGCCTGTCACATCTCATATACATATCAAGAGTATACTACACAATCTTCACTCATTGATCGATAATTTTCGAAATATCATGAATTACTGAAAAATAATATATATATATATATATATATAAATATTGTATTTGAAATTGATAAATCTTACTTATTCATTACTACGAAAAGACAAAAAAAAACACACATCACATCATCACTTAAAGAACACGTGAAATATCATCAAATGACTATGAAAGATAACAAAGCAATCATCACATAAAGCACTCACTACTTACAATCAAAAGTGTAATTCTACAAACAAAATGTACTAACTATCTAAACATCATTGTGGCAATTCAAAGCCAAACAAAAAAAGCAAAGTAGTTTCATCTAGATGATTGAATTAATCGAAACTGTGAATATAATTATATATATATGTATATATATATGCAGAAAAAAAAAGTTTGTCTTCCTCAAATGAATCCAGATGTCTGTTACTTGGAAATAAATGTAGTGATGCCTTTTTTTGTATATAAGGTCTTGTGATTACATGAAAGAAATTTGTCAAATTCTCATAGTTGTTTCACAGATTGACAACTATGGAAAATGATGACAGCTTTTATCAGAGGCAATGTAGATATGATTGAGCAATTCAAACAAATAGTTAGATGTAAATTGAGTGTCGGACTGAATCGCTGGTGAGATTGTGGATGCACACTGTTAGACTTACATACTTACTTACTTACGCCTGTTACCCCCAAATGGAACATAGGCCACCCCACCAGTTTCCTCCAACCAACTCTGTCCTGGGCTTCCCCTTTCTAGTTCTGTCCAACTTTTGTTCATTCTTCTCATGTCTTTCTCTATTTCTCGGCGTAATGTGTTCCTTGACCTTCCTCTTTTCCTTTTACCTTGAGGGTTCCATGTGAGGGCTTGTCTTGTGGCGCAGTTAGGTGCTTTTCGTAGTGTGTGTCCTATTCACTTCCACCACTTCTTCCTGATTTCCTCCTCCACTGGAATCTGGTTTGTTCTCTCCCACAGTACGTTGTTGCTGATGGTGTCTGTTAGACAGTCTGTCTTATTATTCAGGTGAAACAGTTGATCGAGATGTCCTATTTTCATGTGGTTGTCTAATTAGCATTTTTGCCTATGATGTGGAACTACAGACAGAATGGATATATACATAGCTCTGTTTTTAAGCGATACAGTGAGTAGGTGTAAATCAATCAGCCTGACAAACTAGTTTACATCATTCACAACCAGACAACCGTCACAAACGAAGACCGATTATACAGTTGGAGCAAATCCCTGGTATCTCAGACTTCATTGGTGTGAAATGCACGTCACTGTCCAATTATTTGAAACTAGAACCCTGAAGCCTTAGATCAAATATCATCTGCAATGCTACATATTGACTGTGAAAAGCCATGAATTGATTCCCGTTAGAAATGCAGACGCCAACTTAATATTCACTACTTACTACTATGAAGTTTGAAAATGCTTTATTCAATCGCTAGACGCGGTTAGAAATATATTTTATTGTAAAATATTGGGAAAATGAGTTGAATGCTTCACAAATTATCGATTGTTCATATATTTCTAAAATGTAGTGTGTATGTTTTAAACAAGTATTTCATATTTACTTATTCATTCTAGTGTTATTTCATGGAGATATAACAAATTCAGGAATGGAAACACTTCATAGTTTTTTACAAGAACGTAATGGTTATTTGGATTCTAAAACGTCGAATGAACATACACTATTCTACTTCAGCATATCAGATAGATATTTTGAAGAAGCATTAAATTTATTCGCTTTACACTTTGTCAATCCTACACTAAATATAGATGGAATGAGAAAATCAATTGAAAAAATTGATATGGGTAAGGAATATTATTGTGAAAGTATATATATTTAGACATTTACCGTTGGTTAATTATTGTTGAACAATGATCAATATCCTATTTGACTAGTCCTTCACTAATGTTCATATTCGATTGGACAAGGCAAAATGTACTCACTCACATTGGTCTGAGTGTAGACAATGTCGTGATGTCAGGTAATTTGAAGCAGTCAACGTAAAACCCTGAACCTAGGTTGATTCACATACACTGGTCGGTACATTAAAACTTGAATAGCTCTAAATGACTAGATAAACAAGGCACTGGTTACTACGCATTGAACGATGTGAATATTTTAGTTACAAAAGTCTTAAATCATAGTCCAAGTAGCTCGGTATTAACGTTTCAGAGTACGAAGTTAATGCATTGGGGATTCGAATCTAGGAGGTTATGTCAATGTACAGTAGCTCTATTCTAGATACTATGAATTTTGACCAATTGATCTTTGGGGAACTAAATGACATTCGTTATCCTTAGATCATTTTGGTGTATAGTTTATTGTTTGTTAGTGAAAAGTAACGCTTAAAAAAATGTTAGGAACAGTTGAACCACAACTTGACTTTAGTACATCAGGTTACTAGTTGTTGATTTGAACCTTGTGAGTAGGTTTGTTCCAACATGTGATAACTTAAACTGGTATACAGGTGACAGACATGTTGTACTTTGATTATGACTGATCGTTAGGTCGACCTTGAGAGCCAAGAAAAACAGAGTTAGTGACAGGTTTGAACTAGTTTTTAGTGCTTAATTAGAACCAACCATTGATAGACAAATAAAATAGTCAAAAGGTTAACTTTTGTGATAACGAAAACCTCATTATCTATTTTATTCAATTATAGCATACCTCAATTAGTCGTACTCTTCAAATCAATTTTGTTTTTGATTAGGACTGTAGGTAATTCTTCATAAATGGTAATCTAGAACTGATAACTTTGTAACTGATTCACGAAGTCGATGGCATTTTTAATCCGCCCAGTCTAAAGGAAGGGAATGATGCAAGTTTATTAGTGTTCACTCGTTATAAGTATGAGTGCAAAGTGTTTATGAGGATTATTTGTTTATAGTAGTTTGCACTGTGGAATTACTTTCATTTGACAGTAATTATGAATCAGAAAGCCATTTAGTTTTAAAATGGGACTTTTTAACAGATCTCATTTACTTCCCTAATAAGCTGTGTTTGTAGCGAAACATGTGCTTCTTCAGGTCGAATCTAAGTTGAGTCTTCAACGAAATCAACTGCCTAGTACTGTTTGCGGGTTTCCAGTGGTTAGTGATGCAGAATACATTTTTTGGTAACAGTTAACTATGATTCAGTGCGGTTCAGTATCGTGTGATTTAAAAATGATACCGGGTGAAGATTGTCTAGGTTTGATTTAAAAATGATACCGGGTGAAGATTGTCTAGGTTAAGTTAAATTATAGATGCATGAAATGAATTCAAATGACAAGACACGTGATCATAAAAATTATTATTAGTATCATAATTAAAACAAAATATTTGGTACAATAAAAAGAACGACTGTAATATACTTGGTAAAGCTGTCCGATTCGAAAAAAAGATGTACCTTCCTAGCTAGCAGCTCACTATTAAGGGAAGCTATTTTCATAATCAGAAATTATTCATATGTTTAGCTTTTCGATTCAACAATAAAGTCTATGAACAAACAAAAGGAACATCAATGGGATCACCACTATCAGGACTCATCGCGGAAGCTGTAATGCAGAGACTAGAAGCGTCAGTTTTACCAGTCATCAGACCAAAAATGTGGGTTCGCTTTGTAGACGACACATTCGTCATTATCAAAAGGAACGAGCTGAAGAACATCTACAATCAGATTAACAACGTCTTCGGTGACATTAAATTCACCGTGGAAAAGGAATCAAACAGCTGTCTATGATTCCTGGATGTACTAATCACCAGAACTAACACAGGAAAACTAGAAACGCAAGTATTTCGGAAGCCAACCCACACAGACATAATTCTCAACTACGACAGCAACAACCCAAGAACCCACAAGATTAACTGCATACAAACTCCGTTCAAGAGAGCGAAGACACACTGAAGCATATACAAAGCACTAACAAACGAGGAGAAACATCTTGTGACTATCTTCCAAAAGAACGGCTATCCACGCAACTTCATCAAAAAACATCAACCGAAACCATCATCAGAAGCGAAATCAAGCACAGAAACAAATAAACGTATCATCCTACCATACATGAAAGACATATCGGAGCATACAGCACGACCACTGAAACCATTTGGAATAGGTGTTGCACACAAACCAACAGAATCACTTCAATCAATCCTATGTCGACCAAATGACAAAATGACAAGAGAAACCAAATATCATCCACAAAGTAAACTAATGAGACTGTGAAAAACACTACATAGGATGAAGTGGATGACTTCTTGAGCTCGGTTTACATGAAATCAATTAGCAGTCAAACGCGATGACAACTCTTTGCTTATATCAATACACACCGACAATTATGGACATACGTTCGATTGGAACAATATGGAGATACTGGATAGGGGAAGGACAAAGCACACTAGAGAATTTTTAGAAGCTTGACACTCAGGTCAATCAGCAATCAACAAACACATCGATATGGACCCAATTTTTCAACCAATCAGGAAAATCATAGGTGACATAGGATCAAGAAACAGATCAAAAGGGGGATACAATCAAAACAAAGGTCAAAACAACTACAGGTTTAAGGTCAACAGCAACGAATCAAGATCAAGGTCAACAGAACAAGCTACAGGTCAAACGTGGAGAAATTCGAATGCTTCACTTCTATCTGAAGTTCGTTTGTGCTGATAATGTAGTTCAGAAGATGAACAATGAAAGCTTCACAATCAAAATATCCAGCTCAGAGAACGAAACACCACCACAATAAAGCATACCATTCGCCTTGTAACACCCAAAAGTTCTTCCTTTTTAGGATTAAAACCAATGAAAATCTATTATTTATTGCCAAATCGAATAAAAAATATAAAGAATAGTTCGTTAGGATAAAAAGGACGATAAGAATAAAATGAATGCTTTCATCGTAGATTATTAGTACAACATTTTGAGGGTTCTCAATGAATGACAGTTGTTGAAGTCGTTTTAGTCACGAAAATCAAAATTTCATAAGATACACAATGAAAATAAATGACTGAATATTGAGGTCATTTTCCTGACTAAAATAAACAAACCATTTATTCGCAAACATTTCTTTCCAGTACATTTTTGTGAGTCACTAGGTGTATCAGTAGTAACTGAATAAAATCCGTCAAAACTATATTTGTTCATCTATTCAACGTATAGCCAACAACAAACATTGTTATTGACAAACACTGAATACATATTTCTGATTTAATATATATACAGGAAATCCTATTCATCAAGCAATTAAACATTTTATGCACTAAAAGCCTATGTATTTATATATTTTGTACAGAAAGTACTTAAGCTCTATTATGTCGATTAAAGCAAATAAACCAATCAATACTTATATACTTTAATTCTAGACTTTGTGAATAAATGAAAGTTATTTCTCAAGGTTACCCACCATTCCGTATTATTGATCATCAATAATTATGACCTCATAACGTAACGATCTATCTATCTATCTATCTATCTATCTATCTATTGAAAAGTTACGATCAGTCAACTTCAAATTTTTCAAATTCTAATGTGAATCAATGAATGAATATAATTTTGTTTCATTGTTGTTTGTGTTTTGATTAAGTTTCAGCAGTTGCGCAAATTATAAACATCTTATCCTTACAACAACAAAAAAGCAAAATTCAATGAATGATATTTAATTAATTCTATTTATTTATGTGTAGACGATTTGACTTTATAAATGGCGCCAAAATATTCATTAAAACTAACAATAATAATAATAATAATGTCATTTATAGTTCAACTTTCAATAATTAATCATCATAAAAATACTTTTAATACTAATGACTGGCTAATATGAAATCAATATTTTTAAAAAGAAAAGTGTTTTGACTTTATACCACAAGATTTCACCATTGAAAAAGGCGCATATAAAGCAGTTACTAGTTTCTGGTTCTGATCACCACACATCGACAACCTACATCAAATTGAACTTACAACCTTCAGACGTCAAAGGGAGAAGAATGTTGAACTCTATTGTGTTGACTTTCATCAGTTCAAGATTCGATACATCAATACTTATCTAATGTCGTTACTATCTTATGCTCTGCATAACTTAAACAATCTTGGTTACATTGCTCTGTTAGAACTTTGGAAGTGTATCTGAGAGTTAATTATCTCATAGATTTATTTTCATTAGAATCGAAGAGTTATACGATGAGATTGTTGACATTTTTTAAGTTTTGTCTCATTACAGTCTGGAATCAGTTGATGAATGATTGATTCAAAGCCAGGAAGTATTGAATAGTTACTTCACACTAACTAGTTTGAACCATTTGAATACTGAATATTAATCTAGGTTCTTCTAGCCTGTTTACTTTTTAAAAAACTCATCACACCAGATAACAATTCAGAAGGGAATATTCAAGTTGAATTTATCAAACAAACACCTAAACTGTTCATGACATTAAACCTCGATGACATAAAAACTCGATAATTAACTTGCAGACATCAACGAATCATTGGTTTTAATTCTAACTAAAAACATATACTTAATCTACACTTGTCTGATCGTTGAGTAGTTATCAGTAGGATGGTTAGTTGATTATTATTGCTTGTTGAATAATATCGAGTCATTTCCATTGTGATCTTTGGTCTACACGATTAAGCATCACAAGTAATTAGGAGATTACAAATAGATGGTAAGAATAATCGAAACTAGGTTTTGTACTACATGGTACTCTCATCAACAAGGTGTGCCCGTGATCATTGATGAACTGATAACTATTTTTTTGGACTAAGAGACACACACCACTCAGCTTTATAATGTGAGGTTATTGTGGCGTTAGACTTTTGTTATCTTCGATTTACCGTATATCTCCGTCTTGATGATAGCTCCGAGCGAACACGAGTCGTTGCCACGATTTCTTTATTATTCAAAATATTTTATGATCGATACAAATATCGGATTTAATTCAAATCTGTATAGTCGATATTGACATCGAATTATTCAAATCGATATAGCTAGTCAAATAACTAAATGTGTAGGTGGCAAGTAATGCCCAAGCGTACATGCGCATACAAGCTCAACAATGATAAAAGTACAAGCTATATGTGATGCGCTACAAGGTGTTATTCGGCAGCAATTGATCTTTTGCATAACAGATATTGATTTTTATTTGCAACGGAGTAGTAAATGAAATCAACCATGAGTAGAGCTGATTTTTTCAAGATTTTCGGCTCATTAAAGTGATCAGTATCAATTGGTATACATCCTGCATCCGGAGTTTGCCAGTAATGAGCTCCAATTATTTGACAATGTATACTTTGGTTTCATTTTCGTCAACATGTCGTGACAATGTTATTTAACTGATTTTCCCCCTTGTCCTTAGCATTATTTAACATGATAAAAGGATGAGTAATCTGACTGATTGACTTTCCTATCTTCTTTCTTTATCTAATGACTCAAATTTATTTTTCTCCATAATTTGAATGTCTCATTTTGTTAACCTTCAAAAATTTAGAATTTCAAAAAGTGAAAACAAGAGATTATGCAAAACTTCGTGGTTTCATATCAAGTTTAGCTGTCAAAGGATCTCCATACCGGTTATTTGGTCGAGGTAAGTTACTGTAAAAAAAATGAACTACGTATTTTCTTGACCATAGGTTATTCAGTACTTCACGTCTGTATAACAAGGTGATAGCCAATATAGGCATAAATTAACTATATATAACTATACTACTTTCTATTATTTAGTAGTGTACGTCTAATTACGAAATTAGTATACCTTCGAGCAAGGACATGCAAGATTGGGAAGGAAGCAGAAGAAAATACAAATAGATTTCGGTAATGTTGTTGTCTGGCTAGACAACGCGAAGTTGATGATTAAGAGTTACAGATTAGTAAGCTCAATCCCAGAAAGATAAAAATTGGATTATCAGTTGATTGTTCACTGAGTAGTTTGACTAGTGTCCCATCTTTCTGTTCAAAACTAATCGATCAACTTAAGTGTTGTCACTAGTTCGAATGGATATTTTAAGTTAGATTTTGATTCAACACAACTGGTCACCCTTTGGTAGATAAGATTTATCAGGAATGAAACACTGTACAGAAATAACAGTAACAGTACTAAGTGACATCATCAGTCCCTTTCTTTATAGCTTGAAAATGATATTCATGATCGATTATCATTGTCGACAGTGTAAATACAATATTTATTTATTCCCTGTCATATTGTTTTTGTACACAAATAACTTGGTTGTATAAATCTCAATTTCAAAATAGCCTATTTTTTTCATGTAAGGAAATAAACAGTCATTGATCAATGAGCCAGAAAAAAATAACGTTGATGTATACAGCTTGTTGAAAAAACATTGGACTACATTGTATTCAGCGCACAGGATGACACTAGCCATTCAGTCAAAAGGTAATTGTATACTAAAGGGATATATATATTTAATTGATTAATGCAAGTATGTTATAGGTATAAGGTATCATTTACAAAAATTATATTGTAAATATTTTGCAAGTACCAATACATCAGTCGATATCAATATCTAGTCACTTTCACATGAACACACAAAGTCAATCAGTACTTAAGGAGTAGACAAATATAACATTTGTTATTATTCATTAAGTAATCGGTGTGAAAATCTCAGTACCGAACGAAACCAACCTAGATGGAATACATTAGTGGTAATGACTTTGTTTGTAACACATATGGGTCAAATGATGACTAGCAGTTTACTCAAGAATGCAAATAAACCTTGTGGATGACTGTTTTACCTGCTTACTTAAGCCTGTTTGTTACCCACAGTGGAGCGTAGGCCACATACTAGCATTCTCTAACCTACTCTGTCCACCGCCGCCCTGTCTCGTTCCACCCAATTGCTGTTCATTCTCCCTAAGTTTGTCTCCATTTCTCGGTGTAATATGTTCCCTTCCCCCTTTACCTTAAGGTTTGAGGATTCTTTGTGAGAGCTTATCTTGTGACTCAGTTGGGTGTTTTGCTAAATGTATGTCCTGTCCACCTCAACCGCTTATTCATGATTTCGTCCACCACTGAAATCTAGTTTGTTCTCTCTACAGTAGGTTTTTGTTGATGAATAGCAATATATTGCGTAGACAGCTGTTAACAAACGCTCGTATTTTATGGATCACGGTTTTAGTAGTACTCCAAGTTTCTGCCTCATACATTTGTATTGAAAATTCAGATTTTGAAGTTTGTTGATAGTTGTTTTAAGTTCCAGATGTTGCTCAGTTGTAGAAATGCTGCCCTCTCTTTGCCGATCCACGCCTTCATATCTGCATCAGATCCACCTTGCTCATCATTGAGGCTGCCCAGATATGTAGAGGTTTGTACATCTTCCAAAGCTTCAGAGTGAAGTGTGATTTAGTTGGCGCATGTTGTGTTGTATCAGAAGATGTCGCTTTTCCTTTATGTATGTTGACACGTACTGCTGCCAAGGTTGCCGCTACACTGGTTATCTTCTCTTACATTTGTTGTTGCGTGTGCGGTGTCCAGATCGTCCAGCTGCATCATAGCTGTCCACAGTATCCCTGTGGATGACTGTCAGTTAGTAGAAAAAGTAACTTTGGTATAATTGTGCTCTAATTATCATAAGCTTATATTCATGTTGCACAATAAAGTCAACAATGTACTATTACTTCTAATCATAAATAGCGTCGTCAAAACAAAGAGAATCTGAAACTGTAAATAAGCCAAGAACGACAACTTTCAATGTAACAGTGAATGATTTTTTTCGAGTTTTTGGTGACAAGTGTTTTCATTACAGATAAATCTCAATTAAATTCTAAGAGCTATGCATCACCATACATCCTAGTTTTCAGCAGTAATTTTACAATGAAAATTTCATTCATAACTACTCACAAATACCAAGAAAAGCATTAAAACATTGTATTCCGATGAAACATATAAGTCGTTGTACATAAAGTATTCTAGTGTATTCATGCAGTTGACTAAGTAATGTGATTGACTATCGGCATGCTTATCAAGTCGTGTAATAGTGATCAAATTTTGTCTATCAAATCATTCAGTATGTTGAGATTTTAGATCGAGGATACTAATCGAAAGGAAGTCCTATTTCACATAGGTTTCGTGCTAATTAGTATTTGTCAAACAACAGGTACCTCGAATCATAACGGCAATGAAGCATCCTGTTGTATTCAAATTTGTATTGCTAAACTTTACAGTCTGAGATAAGTGCCAGTTATCATGAAACTTGTAATCAAAGTTTCTTACCTGTTACCTCTAATCACCTAACAATACTGTGGTGGTCTTTCGTAACTTTATTAAATACACTTGTTCGGTCGTTTAATACAGAACTATATATAAATGATATAAAATATGTTAATGTAAACTATAGGTTGTAAAAATTATGCAGTTAATGATTTTTATACAATATATCGTTGAGAAATGTGCTCACTAGTGACTAGCTTCGTGAGGAAATTCTCGGGGTTCCAGTGAGAAGACGTGGCCAGTGCAGTTCAACTCTGTCAGGTGTAGGAAGTAACTAGCGACGACAAAAGGGTGAGGTCGTACACAATCCCCAGATTGACCAGAGTTAGATATCAACACCGTTGGATGCCAACAGTTCAGAGGTTGGGCGTTCGCGCGCAAGACTGAAGGTCTTTGGTTCGAATCCTACGATCGTCAGGAGTCATGGATGCGCACTGTTGGTTAGTTTCATACCAGAACGAAACGGCTGGCTAGTACTTTGGGTTCCTAATGATGACCTAACAATGACTGATTCATGATCTCAGTAATAAACAACAATCTCCATAACTCGAATTGATAATTTAGTTATTTATTGCAGATATATTTTTATAGCCGATTATTTTTGTATCTACTTGTATCTTGTGTGTGATTACAGATCCCTTGAACAAAATGGAACGAATTGTTCGAGAGAAATTCTCTAAAATACCAGCAAAGTTTGTAAATTTATGCATTTATGTTTGATATTAATTTTTGTTTGTTGTTCAATGATTGAAACAAAATTAGGTCGGATAACTGTTTGGTAATATATTTCGATAATCAAATGAGACTAGAAGTACTTAAAGAAACTAACATAAACACTGAGTTTTCCTTGGTAATTAACACCAAATAGCGGCTTTGTAACAAGCATTTGATTTTAACCAATGGTACTTCCTAACTGTTCAACCAGTAAACAGTTGGGACGATTTTATATATATAATAGATGGAATTTGACATCTTGGAGTCGATATTCACTCCGGGACTTGAGATGCAGGTGCATATCTAACTGATGATTCTCGAATCAGATGAAACACAGGTCGTAGATCCCATTATCTATTCTTTGTAAACATATGCCTTGATGGCAATACCAGAACAATCCGTATTGCTTACTTTTACTTTCGCTTGTTACCCCCGATGGAGCATAGGCCGCCAACAAGTTTTCTCAAACCAACTCTGTCCTGGGCTTCCCTCTCGAGTTCTGTCCAAGTTTTGTTCATTCCTCTCATATCTTTCTCTATTTCTCGGCGTAATGTGTTCCTTGGCCTTCCTCTTTTCCTTTTGCCTTGAGGGTTCCATATGAGGGCTTGTTTCGTGATGCAGTTCGGTGCTTTCCGTAGTGTGTGTCCTATCCACTTCCATCGCTTCTTCCTGATTTCCTCCTCCTTTGGAATCCGGTTTGTTCACTCCCTCAGTAGGTTGTTACTGATGGTATCTGGCCAACGAATCCGAAGTATTCTAGGTAGACAACTGTTAATGAATACTTGTATCATCTGGATGATGACTTTTGCAGTTGTCCAAGTTTCCGCTCCAGACAGTAGAATTGTCTTGATATTTGTATTGAAAATCCGAAAAGGATGCCCATATTTAAATCAAGACTGATTAAATTTCAGCCAAAAAATATCTGTCGCATAAATTGGTGATAGCAATTATTACACAATATTCCAACATTTGGTCCATGGCATAGGCAAATTAAGAGAGAATTCAATATTCAAGGTAAACACAACCAGAATAGAAGAAGATGGTACAACCCGCTGTATATAATGACGAAGACTAAACCTTTAAGCACATATACATTTTATAAATTAAAAGCAATGGCAGTTAGTCAGTAATTATTATTTCTCGTGAGAGTTTATTATTGTTAGCAAAACTCGAGTAGTCTAGTGTTGATTGTAGCACAAGGCGGATTACTTACCACGGGAAATATGATGAACAGATAACCGAGGAGTTTCGGGCTTGCGCACGAACGCCTATCCTCTGGACCACTGAACCGGCATCCAGCTGTAATAAAGTCTAACTCTGATCAATCTAGGGATTTTGCGCGACCCCGCCCATTTGTCTTTGGTAGTTACTGCCTACACCCGACAGGGTCGAACTCCACTGGTCACGCCTTCTCACTAGAACTCCGAGAATTTCCTCACGAAGCTAGCCACTAATGAGATTATTTTAGTGTTTTTCAATTAAAGTTATGGAGGTTAGATTAGAAGCCTGGAAGCACTGGACTGCCGTTTCGTCCTGGTATGAGACTCATTTTATTTTAAGATTCACAATAATAGTTGAATAGCTAGCTGTTCTACATTTAGTTACTTGGAAGTAAAAATATGCTTATGGCACTTCTTAGTGTTAAGCCTTCGATGTTGAGTTCTTCAGTTGTGAATCTATTGTTTTTCAAAGAGATCAATTTAATTAGTATCAGTACACATTTAAAATGTTTATCGACTACCTAGAATGATCATTAATAATTATTCATGCTAATTTTTTGATTATGAATAGTCGATCAGTGAAAATAGATTTCACAAGATTTGGAAACAGTTTTAATTCACCTGAATTCTTCAAATTATATCATGGTAAGTCAGTGTCATAAATATATTGATTTATTTTTTAAACATTTAAATATTGTGTTGTATAGCTTGGTTGGGACATGTGTTACGTATGCCTAACCACCGACTGCCTCGACGAGTTATGTTTTGTGGTGTAGAGGTATATTGGAAGAAAGCTAGGGGTGGCCAGACCAAAACATGGCAAAAATCCATGAAGTCACTAACAACTGGAATGAGCCATGTTAATAGGTGTAGACTATCTGGTTGTGGGGACCGCGAGACACTAGTAACCGATGGTCGTGGACTTTGAATGACATGGCTCAAAAGCGTTCGCTATGTCACAGGTGCATGTATTCTTTGTGTTCTCTCGAATTCTAATGTCTTGAATTCCTCATCGCCTTTGTCTTGCTCTCACTTCTTAAAATTTATTTCACTGAATTATACTTCTTGAATAATAATATCTTCGAATTCTAATATTCTCCAATACTGCTAATAATTCTACTGCATCTACCATTATCGCATCTAAATTGACAACCGCGGCTCTGTGCCAATGTAGTTTGTCAGCTTAACACGATGTACGCATATGTGAAGTTCTGCGTTGTACCTGAGTGACTGTATGTTATAGGTATATCGTCCAGACTGTGCAGTAGAAGAATATGTATAAATTTTAACTAGAATGAAATAAATTTATTATTTTTGGATATTTATGGAACTCTGTTTGACATAATCATAGCAAATAAACTGTGTTGGGAGACGAAAATCAAATAAAATTTAAGATTAGGAAAGAGGCTAATTGCTCGTTGTTAGATGTGAATTTCATCTGTTCGATACCTACTGGGTCATACCTACACAATGCTATAAATTCCCATTACAGCGAAAAAAGATTGTCCAAAGATCATTGGTTTTCATTGGCATTCTAACTGAGATCAATTTTTAATCAATACAACCTACGAAATGTACGAATGCGGTAAGCATATGATTCAAAGTCTCTAACTACCAGTTACAACTGTTTTGCGGATCTCATTCAGGTAGCCGACACCTATTAACAACATGCTGCAGTCATATTGTCAATAAATTCATGTGAACTGGTGCCATGTTTTGGTTTGGCCGCCTTTAGCTTACAGCCTACTCCAAATTTATATAGGTGTTGGTTGCGCCAACGTAGCATATATTCCCACCACCGCAACTGATGTAGATTTAAAAATTTATCAGTCGATTTGCCCAACTTAACTAGTATCCTATTCCTGACCCAAGTACTGCTTACTTGATAGTCCTAGAAATATGTATATATATATATATATATATATATATATAAATATATATATATATATATATATATATATATATATATATATATATTGTCAAATCAAAATAGGAAAATATTTGATTGATTTAAGTTGATCTGTCAGGAAGCAGAATCAGCTAACCAATATTTCGCATATTTCGCAACTCTAAGTGGAACTTCATTGAAATCGCTTAACCTTTAGATCACTGACCCAGCACTCAACGGTATTAATGTTTAACTTCTATCCATCAAGGACAGTGCGCGACCTCATCCATTGTCATCGGTGGGTAACTGCCTCATACACAAAACTGCTGAACGTTGATCGAAACATGATCTTTATGAAACTTAACAATCCCTACAACCCTATAATAATGTGGAACTGTTCACTAAAACTGATTATTATCAAAATGTTATTTGATCCGTACGGTTGACTGAGTTTTATCAAATAAATTTAAAGTGAGGCATTTAAGTTAGATGACTTATGATTATTATATGTTCAATACTTTATAAATGTCAGTTGACTGGTCAATGGAATTTATCAGAAAGGCCCGAATCATAACGCCTAATATTCTCACTAATACTGATTCTAAGCAGTATCACATATCTAACTATAATAAAGAATTCTCAGCATAATCACAGCGAAACCGTCCTCATATAAGCATTTAACCTGTGAAAACTCGAAATACATATATGATGCATTTTTGTAAACAGTGATTGTAAGTCACTCAATAATTTTTACAGCCATCTTTGCGTGCAGAACGTTTCTTACCATTTCTGAATATATTTAGTGCATAAATTATGTGGTATTCACCTCTCGTTTTAAGAAAAAAGAATACCTTTTTCACAAATATATAACTAAAGTATACAAGCAAAGATTCATTGAACTTCATTTAAAGGATATTAATGTGATATTCAGAGGTAAAAAACTTCAATTATAATTATCAGGACGAGTTGTGAAGACTGTGGAATTCCTCTACGATCGCGAATCGATCTGATTTAAAGAACTACTAGAAACATGTAGGCACTAGACGGTCTCCTCTACCTATCACAGAATTTGTTAGCAGTGTGCATACACGGTCGCACAACCAGATCCGGAATCCGAATGTAATGTTGAAGTTCTCACTCAACACTTTTAAACTGCATAAGTAAACTTCATAATAATGCTACTCGTATTAGCTAACAGTGCAATCTAGGTAGCACTTCTCGTCCATTGTACCTTCATCTCATTGCTGATGTTCAAGCATGGGACTAGAGCCCAACGCTTGTAGTTTAGAGCACCAAAGCATTATCCTGCGACCTACTGTATTTTAAATTCATCCTATCTTATTCAATTTATGTGATACTTTGATGATTATAAATAAGCAATTCATCCCACTAGTAACCAATAGGATCAAATGAATAAGCATTTACTGAAATTCGTTAATTTTGCAACAAAATAATGATGACAGTAATTCTAATGAACATCAATTTTTTTTAATTACACACTTCATATACTACTTAGTTGATAGTGCTCGAAATAAAGAACAATTACGTATGGTTTGGGCTATACCTAGTGTTTGTACATTATATGAGTAAGTATGAATTTTTCTATTGGTTTAATTTATTTTTAACCTTTGAAAGATAAACCAGTTCATTTTGAAAATTACCATTACACCATATCAGTAAATGCCAACCAGCATGAAACAACTCCAAAAGTAGCATTTTTTTATCGCTTACTTTCAATAAATTTACTTCAAATGGTAATCCAGAAGTCAGTGTACATATCGGAAATATCACTCATCAATTTCAAGCACCTTGTATGTTTATTATTTTCAACACTTGTTTTCTTGAAACCTCATTAATTAGTTTGATTGATATTGAAAAATCTCGATACTATTAGCATGCTAAGACTGTCTCTCTAGTCGGTCCTCATAACTCATAACTACTTCCAAACACCAACTGGACACATTTGAGATAATGTGCAGTTTGTAAGTGAAATCTCTACGCCAAGCTTGCTTCTTATACATTATCTTAGGTTGGTGGAAGATTTTGGCATCATACTAAATATTGTGGTAGTATCAGTAAATACCAAACCAAAACCATGACACATGAGATTCTTCGTGATCTAGAAGTATTAATCATAGCTCGTTATTGGGGTAAATCTTCAATCTCGATACAAAAAAATGAAGTTTCTTCATTGATTTCTGTTAGGTATGCACGCTTGAATTATTATGAGTTTACCTTAGTCGGAAAACGAGAGTCAGGATTGAGGGTCCGGCTACATGACATGCTACTATAATCCAAGTGTCCTAACCCCTCATTGAGTGAAAGAAGAAGACTTGATAAGAAGTAGAACATGTATTCTACAAGCATCCAGAAAGTACGAGATCCGAGTCCAGAAGAGAAATCAGGATCCCAGACTAGGGATCCGGGTCCGGGTCATAAAACGTTACAGATAATGCGTACTTATAAAGCTAGGTCGAATAGGAAACAACATTGAAGTCTGTGACATTGACAGTTAAGACGACCAATAGGAAACAACATTTAAAGTGACATTGACCATCAGGACGACCAATAAGAAGCAACATTGTTGTACGTGACACTGATATCTAGGACGACCATAAAATTGACCAGTAGGAATTAACCAATAGGAATTTGTTAAGTTCGTCGCTAGGTAGGCTTGAAGCTATTACCTTAGTCTATAAACGCAAACGAGACAATTATCAGCGTCCAGATAGGCTACCTTGAATCCCAAGCTGTAAGACAGAAGTCTTGGTAAGCGTAGAAAGTATATTCTACAAAACACCCAGCAATCACAGTACAATCAAGCATACAACTCTCGTTTATTTATACATCATAGAAACGTCCTTGGGACAGTTACGAAAATAGCACACTAAAATACACAGCAGCCAATGACAGCCATGTATTTTCCTGGTGGGAACTGAAATCTCAAGGTCAACTGATCAGCCCATGCTGGTAAACGTGAAATCCAAAATAATGCATTTATCAAGCGAGTTTTGGGGATCTAACATCCCCGACAGAATCAACCAATAATTCTCTTAGGATAGTGGTTGAATATCCTTACAATTTCAAATCGTGTCACATATATAGTCTGAGACTTTACTAATGAGCAATTCAAGCAGCTATTCACAACTTTTCGGACTATGTTATTATGATAAGAACTGATCGATTATTAATACATTAAAAACTACTATTTTGTGAATTTTTATTTATTCAACACTTGTGCATTAAATTTACAAGTTTACTCAATTAAAAATTATGTAAAATACATTTACAATTTTTTTTGGTAAAGTGCGGTTTTCTTATTCAATGACAAAATTAAAGGCTGATTCATTATTGATGCCAAGTATTTAAATGAATGCCATTTTTTTTAAGAAGAATGTTTCGTGTAAATTTTCAACCTATTTCCTTTGATGATAAAATCGTTAATACTGATGATAATTGTGTTGAGAAATTGTTTTGCACGACATAAGATCCACTTTGTGTGTGTGTGTCTGCCTATTTGCATAAATTCTCTATATGTATAAAAGAAAACATGCACATTCACTGCACATAGTTATTTATTTGTACTCTGTTTGCATAAATAAATGTTCAATGGTTTTTTTACAAAGAAAACAAAATTTAAATGTCAGCATAGTTTTACAACACTCGTTTGTCTGTTAATTCGTTTGTTATTAGTTTTTAAATAACATTTATATAAAGATTTGGAAACAAATCTTTTTCTCTTCATATTATATCATGAAGAATGCATGAAAACCAAAAAAAACTCTGAGGAGTCCCATACCAGGACGAAACGGTTGTCTTTCAGTGCTTCCAGGTTTCTAATGGTGGTCTAACATGGTTTCGAAAATGTGTAACTTAACAATCTTCACAACCGCGTAATGAAAATGATTATTAGTTACAATTGAACATTGAATGGTTGATTGGAAATAAATTCGAAAAAACGACAGTGCTATTTAATAGTAATGATTGTGCACGGAGAAAAAGAAGATGGATAGTGACATTAGGGATTTAACTATGTGTAGTTGACGAGTCATAAATAGGATGAAATCTACTTCCTTGATTGCACTGATAGATATTATTTAATTTTATTATAAGATATGTAGGCAATATAGTGATACCGTGAACGGTTTTTCGACGTACAATTGAAAACCATGTAGGTGGGAAAAACTCTTATTGAATCCGTTCGATAAATAACATCACTCTACTATCAGTACCATGGAAAGTCTTCAATTGAGATCAACAGGCTGGATTCCGTAAGGAGCGTTAGTGTACCGACCAAATTGCGGTACTTCGAATCCCTGTGGAACAACTCAATTGAATCGTACTTACTACCACCAAACATCAACTTCCTTGACTACGGAAAAACGTTTGACTGCGCGGATAAGATGATATCGTGTAGTCTTCCTTGACACTACTATATACCTGAGAAGACATTCAACATTATAAAGACTTCTTGGGATGGACTACACTGTAAAAGCGTGCATGGAGGACAGCTCACAGACTTGTCTCAACATACATAAAGGGAAAAATAAGATTCGCCGATACAACACAACGTGTACCAACCTAATCATACTTGATCGAGAAGCTTTGAGAGATAAAATAATCTTTATATATCTGGGCAGCATCACTGATGAGCAAGCGGCATCTAGTGCAGATATGAAGGCGCGTATCGACAAACAGAGGGCAGTATTCCTACAACTGAAAAACATCTGTAACTTAAAACAACTATCAACTAATTCCAAAGTCTGAATTTTCAATCCAAATGTCATGACAGTTCTACTATATGGGGTGGAAACTTGGCGAACTACCAAAACCATGATCCAAAAGATAGAAGTGTTAATTAACAGTTGTCTATGCAGAATGCTGAGGATCTGTTGATCAGACAATATCAGCAACAACCTATTTTAGGCGAGAACAAACTAGATCCCGATGGAGGAACAAATCATGAAGAAGCGCTGGAGGTGGATAGGACACGTCGAAGAAAGCGCTCTGTCACAAACAAACCCTCACGTGGAATCCTCAAGCCCAAAGGCGAAGGGGAAGGCAGAGGAACAAAATTCTGTTTTCATCATTCAAAATATCGTTGGAAGTTCTCAGGAATCATTCTCATCAATCAGCTCATCACTTTGAATTCCATCATTCTTCTATCGTTCCACTTTTAGATTGGTGACCATAAAAGACGTTTTTAAAAAATTCACCAAACTGTCATTTAACTGGATAATTGAACAAGAAAATGTACATATTTGCTATTTTTATTCCCATAGGAGGGAGACAGTCGTCTTCACCACTGTGACATTCTTTTAATTGTCAGTGACTTTGACAAGACATTGTAACATCATGAAAAACTTAACATTTCATAAATTTCCTGAAGGATGGTCCCGTCAGGTGTCCCTAGACATTTAATAACACTGAATTCATTTACTTAAGACAAACCGCGTGTTGTAAGCAAAGCAAAAAATATTCTAGAATCTCATATCAATCAATATGTTTTATCGAATTCATGAATTAATCATTGTTATACCACCGTTAAAAAGCTGGAAGCATTGGACGGCAGTTTTGTCCAAGTATAGGATTCATCAACCGTGTACATTCACGACTCATGCACGCGGAAATCAAACCAAAGAAGTTAGTCGTTAGCTCAGTTGGATGCCAGCTCAGTGGTATAGAGGTTAGGCAGCTGAGACTGAAGGTCAAGGCTTCGATTTCCGTGTGAGGGGGTCGCGGAAACATACTGTTGATGAGTCCAGTAGTAGGGCAAAACAGTCATCCAGTTCTTTCAGGTTTCTAATGCTAGTCTAACACTGATCGATTCATGATCCCAGTAAAAATCAACAATCTCCACAACCCTTTAGTGAAAAGTGTGTTCTACTTAGTGAAGCTTAAAGACCAGAAGAATAAAGCCATTAAAATTCTGTAAAATTCAATTTCTCTGTTTCACTCAGTAGTTTATCAAAAGACATGAAAACATTCAATAATAATAATAATTTAAATGAAGTGCGATATCGAGTAGACTGTTGAACTAAAAATTAATTCTTCACAGTGCCTCTTGCTTAAGATAATTTTAGTCAGAGATTAGAAGTAGGTTACTGAGATTTGTATGCAAGTTAGATAGGCACGGCTTATGTTTCATTGTGTTTATGATGCACAGTGCACGGACGTATTCGTATTCAGTAACAATAGGGATACATATCTTTCAGGATACATAACAATGACTAAATTAACTGCAAATAACATGCATACCTTTTGCATAAGCTATGACAGTTTGGACTTTTTATCTCAATCGACGATATGTGTGTATGTTAGCTTTGATAGTGATAGGAACTTAGTTTGAGTCCTATTGTAAACTTTATTACTGGAATACAAATATGTCCAAGTGATGCATCTTAGATTGGATGAAATACGTGTCCTGAATCCGGATGCTGTCCACTGTGCATCAATTCTAAACAGATCAACTAACCGTAGGCTTTTTGATTTCAATATTTACCATTTATTTGCATATGTATGTCGTTGAATACATTGAATGTTTTGCTGTTTCAGATCAAATCCAGTTGCAGTGTTTGCATATTTCCTAAATGACAAACATCCATATGGTCTTGAAAATTACCTTAAAAATAAGTGAGTAATTTGTAATTTCGCTTGGAATGCTAACTAATTTTGTATAATATATTTGTTGAACTTCTAGAAGAAGATCTATACTGATTTGTAATAACACTTGTGTTTCTTCTTGCATTGTTTAATAGGTAAATTGCTTAAGGCAAGAATGAATGATTTTTGTTTGAGTGAAGGAACACCTGAGCCAGCAAATATTCGATCACGTTTCAGGATACCGCAAATCGACAACTCTCATAGGATTTAGAGATTGGGGAGAAAATTTTCAGCTCAGGTAGATGGTTGCGGTGGCGTTTCGTTCTCCTAGCTGCACAACCAAAACATCCAGCTCAGAGAACGAAACTCCATCGCTAATCGATAACACCTGTTTCACCTGATCAGTGCGTGTATCAATCAGTCATGAAGTATGTAGCGAAATATGTATGACATCATATATATATAACAGACTGTTTATTGGTCATTCTAGAAAACCAACTAATCACAATTTCATCTCGCTTAAGTAACATAACTATTTCATAATATTGCGGGGTTGTGAAGATTGTTAAGTTACTCATTTGGAATCATGAATCGATCACTGTCAAACCATTATGTCTTGTGCCCGAACGCCTAACCTCTGGACCATCGAGCATTTGCCTAACGGTGTTAATGTCTAACCTCGTGAATTGATCGTGTTTTTTAAACATGTGATTATCAACCAATCAGTTTTTGTAGCTATTTTTATCTTTTGTGGTGAATAAGGTTTCACCAATTCTGTGGCGGTCGGTATTCAATATTATCGCACCGCACACAGATCACAAAACCACAGGCACACGATGCGACAATGATATGCGAGTGCCGAAGAGTACGCAAACAAGTAGGTGAGCGGATCAGTGAACAGGATTAAAGTGTACAACTATATACATAAGAAAATGAACGAGTCATCGAATTAGTGAATCGACTGACATTCATACGAGTAGAATGAATATGCACGTAGGCAGTAAGCAATGCTCAAGCCTAAATTCTCATACGAGCACAACAATAATAAAAGTACAATTGTACAGATAAGCTGTTGCTATACAAATGACTCAATCTGTTAAATTAGTTAACAATAGAGGGCTTAAGCTAAATGAATGTAAACAAACTCAAATGTCTGTGTGTTGCTTTACTTTCTAACATTCATTTTTATTAGATGATATAACTGGTGCACAAAATTTCACCGTAATCGGTTTACACAAAATGCCAAAAAGGGAGCAAAATGTTTCAATCCTTCCTATGAAATTCTTTGAATGAGATACAGTAAATAGATATATGATAGGATTATGAGCTTTTTTAATAAAATCCCCTCAATACAAAAAATGATTGACGAAGTTTTTTCTCCAATGAATGTATTTGATGTTCAGTAACTCTTTAGCTTATATTCCAATCTATCTAGCAGATAGCGTTGGGGATGTTAGATCCCCAGAACTCACTTGGAAAAGGTCCTAATTTTGCATTTTATGCTGTCGTACAAGGGCTAGTCAGTTGACCTTGGGATTACATTTCCCACTCGGAAAATCCTCGACCCTCATTGGTTGATGTGTTGTTTTAGTACACTATTTGTGTGGTTATCCTATGGACGTTTATATCATGTTTAAATAAACTCAGTTTGTGTACTTGTGAACCTCATATTTTCTGGGTGCTTTTAGAATACACTTTCTACGTCTTGTCAAGACTTCTCCCTCTACCTAGCGGGGCCTTGGGACGCTCGAATTAGAGGAGCCTATCGTCTCACTGGATCATTTATCTTCGCTCTCGTTCACCGACTAAGGTGAACTCGTAATAGCATTCAAGCATACCAGTTGACAAGCACAACAGATAGGTGTAATTTTCGTTTGAAAATTTTTCTCTTAACCAATAACAGTCATTCACAATTTGTCTATTATGAACATGACAGTGTAGCGTATACAAATATGCCAGTTGGTAAAATAAATTAAGTGGAAGGTAAATGGAATTCCAAATGAAATCTTACACTCAAGTGTGCAGTAGCAGCATCCTCAAAGGGAAAAAAAGTGGTCACAGCTTTTGGTTTTGACACACGCACACACACTAAGTGTACATTGAAAATGTTGTGAATAATTTTAGCCCGAAAGTCTATTAGCATATTGACATCATCGGTAAATAAATGATTCTGTACAGGTCTCATTAGACTACCAAAATAATTTTGAAATATTTGTAAAGTATACACATTAGTGTATATATTGATTATCTTAAGTTGTATTTCTTTACATTTCATGTTTTTATTGTATAACTGCTTAGTCATTTAGCGACAGAAGTGAAATGTGAATTTTCCGCCATGTCAGATTTTGATAATTCATCTATTTGTGCTTTGATTACAATTTGCATTGACTTAATTGGTACACGTTCCGATTTATTCAAAGTAAGTTACAAGGTTGGTTTTTAAAAAAGAAAATTGACTTGCATTGTTTGGTAGTTAGTTTAAGTCAATGAAGTAGAGCGCAATGGTCTAGGGTTAATCTAATTCAGTTATCTTTCACACGATTATACACAATGAAGACTATATGAGTGAGTTAAGTAACCACATTTTTTGGATTTTGTTTTTGTTACGAATGCACGTAAACACGTCATTTTGATATGCTTGAAACTATTATGAGTTTACCTTAGTCGGAAAACGAGAGTGAGGATCGAGGATCCGGCGACACGACATGCTACTATAATCCAATTGTCTGAAACCCCCACTGAGTAAAAGGAGAAGACTTGATATGAAGTAAATGTGTATTCTACAAGCATTCAGAGGGTACGAGGTCCGAGTGCGGAAGAGAATCAAGATCCCGGACTAGGGATCCGGGTCCGGGTCTTAAAACGTTACAGATGATGCGTATTTATAAAGTCAGGTAGAATAGGAAACAACATTGAAGTACGTGACACTGATAGCTAGGACGACCATGAAATTGACCAGTAGGAATTAACCAATAGAATTAGACTTAAAAAAATAATTCTCTTAGGATATTTGATATACATCCTAACAGTTTTATAGATTATTGAAACTGACTGGTTCATGACAATATAAAAGGCACAATTTTCAGCTGACCTATCACCTTAGTGTATGATAGAAATCGAAACTTACTTGATAAATGTTAATTTTTAGACGGTATTCTTCACCAGCTGAGCAAATACAGGATACTAATGAAAACTGGGGGTGTATTATCTCGTTTTGTGACCATTCACGCACACACCTTGGAATTTCATGTTTTCAGGTAAATGAACCTCGACTAAATCACTGGGTTCGTATCCCGCAGTATACATACTGTGATAATTATCCACTGATGTCTGTTGCTTTGCTTACATGGTCCTTAACCAAGTTGTTGAAGTTTGGTTTTGAAAATTTTCACTAGGTCCGGACATCTGTCACAACTCAGATTAGTCAACGACAAATACTTTAATATAAATTTGTTTCTAGGACTAGTAAAGCATTTATAATTTACCTGGTGAGTCGCAAAAAAACGAAGATCATATTGACTATATTACTGATAATGTAACGCTTTGCGCAGTATTCGCCACTTTCATGTAGATTTTGAAATTATGACTTCAAATGAATACTTGTTTGCTTCGCTTGACACAAAATTCTTTACTGATAATGTAAGATTCGTATAAAGTCCGGAGATTTCCCCCATATGTTGCATAAATCCTATCGATAGCATTTATCACAGTCGAGATATATATACAGAGATATTAGATAAATATTCTGCGTCGTTGATTACTGACACAAGTAAACCTTCTTCGAGTAATAGATACATTTTTCATTTTATAGAGTTATGGAGATTGTTGTGCATGATTGAAATCGTGAATCAATCATTGAGTTAGACTACCAATAGAAGCCTGGAAGCACTGTTTACATAGCCTTTTCATCCTGTTATGGGACACATCATCTGTGCACATTCACGACTCCTGCCACCTTCAGGATTTGAACCCAGGACGTCTAGTCTTAAGCACGAACTCCTAACCTGTTGACCATTTGACTGGCGTATGGATGTGCACTGCTGATGAGTCCCATAACAGGACGAAACGGCCGTCACGTGCTTCCAGGTTTCTAATGGTAGTCTAACTATGATTGGATTCATGAACATGTTCAACAGATCAATATCATTTCATTCAGATAATCAACGTTTGTATTTTCTAAAAAAAATCGTTTTCATCTTTTTTAGATTACAAAAATTGTTTATGAATATTTACGATTTTTATCGAGTAAAGCAAAAGAAGCATGTACAAATAAAAACAATGATGAGAATAATGATGTGAATAATAATAGTAATAATAATAACGGCTATCACCATAATCATAATCCTGTGCGTAAAAGTTTAAGCATACTAAATAATAGTCATCATAATAATAACACTAGTAATACTAATACTAACAATAATACCGGTAATGTCAAATCAACATTTGATTCATGTGTAAGAGATTTTCAATTAACTCAAAGAGAAACTTTTGAATGTCGTGCAATATTTGGACCACAAGAAACTGTTATCTGGATTGCCAATATGTTGCAGCATACATTGCCACAAGATGTGCATTCAGCTTATTTAGTGATAAAAACACTTGATTTTCAGGTGAGCTTTGTATTCAAATGTTTTTTTTAAGGTTCATTTTGAAGAAGTAGGGAATTTTCAGGATGTACAATGAAAAGGCTTTGAGAAAACTGAGGCAGGTGCTAAAGATTGTAAAATGCAATTAAAAACGACAACATTACATTGAATACTCTATTCGCACACCATCCTTGAGTCGTGACTCCCAACGCTTCATCCTTCTTCCATTCCTGTTGTTGCTTCCTTTCCTTCCTGTAGGTACTCCATTTACTTCTTGCTTTTGCTCCATTTGCTTTGCGTTTTCCTCTTCTGACCGTGAGACTTCTTCTTTCACGTCCCTTCTTATACTACTTATATCGTTCGTATAAGTAGCACACACCACAACGTAAGTGACCTGAAAAATGTGATGTGTTAACGCCATACATTTCGAACAATCTGGTCATATATATATATATACTTGTCAAGACATTTTAAATGAATAATAATGAAAGGTCAATTAAACAAAAGTTCAAATAGAGAAATAAGGCGATCATTGTAAATGAAGGAAAGAGAAAATTTAGAAATAATAAGAAAGCGTTGGAAATTATCATACTACCCTAGGCCATACCAGGGTAAATTCAAAGGTTATGACAAACTGTTTCTGTACACATAAGGGAGGTTTTAATTTATAAATAGCCAAGGCTTCTATGAACCTGAGAATTTGTCCTTAAACATTTCTATAGAATGTTTCTATACAAACGCTCTCTCTATGTCAATCTTATGCTTGGATTTGATTACGTGTTTTTGTTATTGATGAGCTTGGTTTTCTACTGCCCACGTTGATAGGGTCATCCGACGTTAACTGATTTTGAAGCCATTTAGAAACATGTCCGATTGTTCCTCCTCATATGCATAGATGTGTGTTCACACAAACATGTAAATCGATAAATACAATGCGATGTGATGTAATCAGTCGAGTAAGGTCTAGGCCTATGTGGAATCATGGGCTTAATCCTTTCAATGATAATCAGTTTAGCAGCTTAGTATGTTTTCTCTATGCCTGCTTTACGTCTCTGTCTTAAGATTAAACCGTTTGATTCAACCTCTAAAGAAATATGAACACTTTCCTTTTCCAGAGAATAAAAGATAAGCTTTTGTCTTGACTGATTTTTACACCTAGTTATGCATTTTACTGAATAATCCTTTGAAATCAATGTTTCAGTCAAGGATTATGCATCGTCTTCAAATGTATATGTTGTGTATTTAATTGACCTTTTGTTAATTTTGGTATTAAATGCCTTGACATGTGTATATATGTATGACCAGATTGTTCGAAATGTATAGCGCGCAAATAGATCACATTAATCAAATCAACCGCGTCTTCTCATAATTTTATCTAAATTTCATGTGTCACCGTTTCTCTTTAGGATTTTCAGAGTTTATAACAGAGTAATGTATTCGGAAGAATACAATTAACCATTGCATGAATGATTTGTGAAAATACAAGTTGGTTTGACGATAAATTCAGTCCAGTCCCCCTTTTGAAATGATGGAAAATTACCACACAGTATTAACGGAATTTGAACAATAACAGTGTAATTATCTTTTAAATAATTCCTATGCTAGTATTTTTAGTTATCAGCTTTGAAGTAGACAAACTCTTAAGCCTAAAAAGTTAATTTCCAGTGAAATTAATTCTTAGTGGTAACAGATAATAAAATCTAGAAATTAATTTTGTATTCCTGAACTCAGATCATTTACAACCCCATTTCTAAAGAATATCAATAATTCATTTATACTTTAATGATGTGAATCTGCCTTTATGGGATTTTAGGGGTCTGTATTAGACTCAGTGTTTGGCTTACTACTTTAGTGGCTCTGCTGAACTTGCATTAGGGCTCATCATTTTAGTGGATCTCGATGACTCCGGTATTTACAAATGATTGAGTATGCAATGAAGTAAATCTTCCCTTCAGTTGCCATATATCATACTTTGGCGAACCCCATTTATGCGACGACGGTAATAAGAAGCCAAACACGGATGCAGTTGGATGGGTTTATTTCAAGCAACATTTATACAGATAGACAGGAGAATACACAGCTTGAAAGCAAAGCGAAGTGAAGTGAAGAAGGTCGGCGAGTCAATTCCACTTCTCTTCGCTCTGCTTGTAAGCTTTTCATTTACATGTCTGTCTGCCCATATGGATGGATACATGCACGATGGCTTGAAATAAACTCATCCAACCTAATCCGTATGTGACTTGTTATTATCGCCGTTACACAAACGGGATTCGTCTAAGTATGATGCACAGAAAATGAAAGGGGAAATTTATTTCAAAGCATACTCGAACGTCATAAAATAAAGAAAGCATGGCGGACCACTAAAGTAGTGAGCCCTGCCACAAGATCAACGCACCCACTGAAGCAATAATCCCGACATCGAACATAACGCAGCCCACTAAAGGATGTTTCATTTTATCATTATTATTTTTATAACTGTTTGATTTCATTATGGATTTATCATATAAATTTAGGTGTATTCAGAAATTTTGGATACTTTATCCAAACAACAAGCATGTTTAATTCATAGTTCAAAATTAAATCCTACTACAATGCAGAAATATATTCATATTGAAAAATGGTACAATCTACAATATACACTAGAAGGTAAAAATCATATATATATATATATATATATATATATATATATATATATATTGTAAAGATTTGTATGTTCATGTCATTAATATTCAAAGACTGAAATGCATCAGTTTCTACTTGATACCTTAGACATCACCTGTAGCTTCATAGATGATAGTTTGTTGACATTCGAAACGGATCGACTTCCCTGAATCACAATCATTCAGTCATCTACTTGGTGTGCTAGTGGTAATCTATACCTTATTTAGTTTGCAGAACTCCCCCCTGTTTTAAGGTCCCTATACTCCAAATTAAGCCTAATAACTTACCGAAGGTTTTTACACTTACCAGTTTGCTGAAACGCTGTGGTATTGTGGTGTGAGCTACTTATAAGTAGTATATGACGTGAGTGTCAATGTAATGTCTGGCAGCAGCAGATGGGGGAAGATCAAGAAACGAAGAGTTAGAACACAATGGAATTTGTTTGAAACGCATGAATAGTGACAATGGATTGATGTTTTGCAACAGGAACAGTCCAGTTCGATATGATGAACTGATATTTTGGAAATTATTGATTTACGATATGGTTTTCCGATTTTACTGAGTAACTCTGTAATTTTCGCTAAATGCAATTCGGTTGCCCCACCTGTGTTCTCTTCCGCTATAGTATGAACTCCTAATTTATATAACAGTTGCAGCACTCTTTCATCTTGTACTAGCTTGTACTACTAGCTCATCTTGGATGCCGGGCGACAGTACATGTTAGTGTTCAATTGTACATAGAACTACACCACATTAATCAGTGATGGTAGTGTGTCAACTTTCAGTGTTATCATTAACAGTAAACAAACTAAAGTTACAACCAATCAACAGCTAAACTACATCTCTCAGTTTGTGAAAATAATATTTTCTTTTTTAGAAAAATTAAATCCAGTTATTGACAATTGTTAGTTCAGAAAATTAAATAAGATTCTATTCTTATAAATAATCATTTTCTTAATGTTTTTAAATAATTTTTTTCTTTTCAGAAGTTTCATCTAAACAAATAGGTTGTCTGGATAGCTTGCATGGAACAGTTCCATTTTCGCTTCCATTAAAAGTCAATGGTAATGGTAGGTTAAAGTTATTTATGCCTTTTTTTTTAATCGGCAGATAAAATAAAGACCACTGATATGTTGGGCGAATATTTAGTTTTTTTAATGAAATCAAGAATAGATTATTGTTAGACAACCATTGAAAACCTGGAAGCGCTGGACGGCCGTTTCGTTCTTGTATAGGACTCATCAGCAGTACGCATCCACGACTCCTGCCACTCTCAAGATTCTAACTCAGGACTTCCGGTCTTGTGCGCGAATGCCTAAACTCCTGGCGACTGGGCTGGCATCCAACAGTGTTGAAGTCCTATGTTTGAGTGCTGCAAGTCGTGAATGCGCAATGCTAATTAGTCTCAAACCAGGACAAAAACGGCCGTCCAGTGCTTCTAGGTGGTCCAACAATGATTGATTCATAATTTCAATAATAACTAGCAATCACCACATTTTAAAGATAATGACTGATCATAGTAATCATACGTATTATTGTAAATACTCGTGTTTCCATCGTTCAGTTCATGGTTTTCTAGTTAACGTGCCGAATCATCAAGTTTTAATAATAATTATCTAATTTATAGTTTAATATTTTATGAGGAGATTCCTTTTACTAACTAGTTTAATTGTTATTTGGTTTTAGTACATGAATACTGTCCTTTACCAACCGAAAATGATGTACAAGTAAGTTGGTTGGTTTCAGTGTGTAAACCAGTTGCGGCGATTGTTTAAATTTCATGGTTGTTTTCTTTATCACGAATAAGATCTCAAACATTGAACTTGGTGATATTAAGATTAGAGAGATGTTTTAATCCCGGTATGAGACACTTTAGTAATGAGTACTCATGATCCGATCGGAAATTTAGTGTAACATTATAAGGTCCGCATAACGACAGCACAGTCACACACACACTACGGAAAGCATCGAACTGCGTCATAAGACAAGCCCTCACATGGAACCCTCAAGGCAAAAGGAAAAGAGGAAGGCCAAGGAACACATTACGACGCCGAGAAATAGAGAAAGATATGAGAGGAATAAACAAACATTGGACAGAACTGGAAAGGGGAACTCAGGACAGAGTTGGCTGGAGAAAACTGGTGGGCGGCCTATGCTCCATTGGAGGTAACAGGCGTAAGTAAGTAAGTAAGTAAGAACGAGAACATGTGTTTTCGATTAAAGAGTTGGCAACTAGTGGCTTACAAATGTTTTTACGGCAAACATTTCACACTATGGCAGTACAATCGTCTTCTAAGCTGATGATGCATTTTACTGCAAAATCTTGTCTATATTCAATGCGCATAAATCAATAATTTTATTTTATTTTACTACAAAAATCATTGGTTTTACATCTATCTCTGTTAATCAAATTTGTCAATAATTAATCACCAAGCAATGAAAAAAAATCTATTACTTTTCAGTCACCTATTAATCTTATGTCAGAATTAGGAAGTGCATTTGAAAATTACGGTTCACTTTGGTATCAAAAATACAATAATCAACATAAAAATGAAGGTATGTTGGATTTTATTGGCATTGAATGAAATTCGACATTAAAACTTTTAATCCACTCCTCCTTATATCATTCGAAAACATATATATGATGAATCTTTGATGTTGATGATGTTGAAATAATAAATGAATGATGTTAGGTTTTAGAAGTAATTTACTTAGAAAATAATTCATGATTTAACATACATTTTAGTAAAAAACAATCATCTTCATTTGTCTATAATAAAAAAATTGTACAATGTACTCACTAGCGGCTAGCTTCGTGAGGAAATTCTTGGAGTTCTAGTGATGTAAAGACGTGACTAGTGGAGTTCAACCCCAAAAGGTGTAGGCAGAAAATACCGAAGACAAATGGGTGAGGTTCATCAGAGTTAGACATTAACACTATCGGATGCCAACTGAGTGCTCCAGAGGTTTAAAGTGTCACGTGCAATACCGAGAGTCCAGTGCTCGAATCCTGCGAACAGTAGAGGTTGCGAATGAGCATTGCTGATGAGTCCCAAAACATATATGTGTTAATTTGACTATATGGTTGAGTTCTTAATGAGTAGACAGTTTCGTGCTTCTTTGTTAGATCTGGATGGAGATCATATTTGTATTTTCTTTGAAATGTGATTTGAACTTGTGTCAGTGAGTGTTACATACAGTCAGTCAGAAGATACACAATTTAATTAGCTATTCGTTTTCAAGCTGCAAATTTCTTTCTACCAAATGAATTCTTAATACTTAATATTTGAAATATTATTTTAGTCATTGTTTTTTTTTACTATCTATCTGGATTTTTTTTATTTAGAACTGATATCCTATGACAGATGGATTAATTTACCTTGTATGTTTTGTTCGCTTACAGCTTACATCTACACACAAATTTCAACGGGCTTGGAAATCGACTGTCCTATGAAGTAAGTTTGTCTTATACTTTTATCTTAAGGTGATTATGTTAACAAACTAACTGAATGTATCAAATATTTTGTAGTTATACATTCTAGGTGGTAACCAACCAGTTAACAAATTGTCAGATTATCGAATAGAGTTTTCAGCAAACTCTATTTGTCATTCAAGTTTCACGGTAAGCTGAATTCACTACTAAAGCAAGCCTGCAATATTAAGAGAGTTAGTTAATATTACGTCACAGATTCTCTAACCAGCAACACCCCGCTTCCTCCTAATTTGCATTGCTACCACTGAGCTATTCGGGCTATAAGTTTTTTTAAATGAAACTATAGTTCAAATATACTTGTAAATTTACAAAACTCTATGACAATGCATCATCCTTATTTCTTCTCTTTAACCATTGGACTTATAATTCAGAGTAAATTTTGGCAAAAAACGTTATGTATCCTCAAAATTAACTATCAAAAATAATTAAACCTCTCAACTTATTGAGTGAGATATTCGATTAGGCCTCTTTCCAATGACTGTTTGCACATTTCTTTGAAATAACTTTAATTTATCTCATTTTCATCGATTTTCAATTATTTAAAACAATTAGTCCCTTTTTGGATAAATTTTGATAGAACAATGAAAAGATGTAGGTGATCTGAAACATGTAACATATTTACGCTATACATTTCGAATAATCTGGTTACACATACATGTACATTTGTCAATGCATTTTATATGCCCTGTTAGACATGGGCATAAGATCAACATAAAAACAGCCTTGGAAACGTTGTATAGAAACGTTCAAGGACGAACTCTGAGGTTCATTGAAGCATTGGCTATTCCTAAATCTAAACCCCCTTTGTGTATACAAAAACAATTTGTTATAACCTTGAATTTACCCTAATAATCTTTAAGCCATTTTATGGTCAAGGGTAATGTGACAATTTCCTACCCATTCTTATTCTTTTCATATTACGTTAATTTTCTCTCCCTTTCAACTTATGCCTATTATTTGAACCTTTATTTTATTGACCTTTAATTAGTCTTCATATAAAATGCCGTGACAAGTGTACATATGTGTGTGAACAGATTGTTCGGAATATATAACGCAAATACATCATAACATTTTTCAGATTAATTACGTCTCTTCATTATTCTATCAAAATTTTCAAGTTTGTTTGGTTTTCTCTAGCACCATAGAACTCAATGTTAAAACATTCGATCTATTGAGGATAGTCAATTGACTTTCCTGTTAATCATCTGATTCAATACATTACATAACCTTATTGAAATTATGCTAGAAGATTTCCACTTCGTAATGGTATTCAATTTTCTTAGAATATATGGATCGAGACTAGTATTAGAATTGTGGATGATCATTTTGTTTTATTTGAAACTGGCAATCTCTGTGTCATCACATATCAGGGACTCGAACCTAGTACCCTCAGCTTCACAAGCACCAATCAAATCTACGTCAATAATTTAATGATTCATATGTACCAACAAAAATTGATCAAAATTCAAGTATATAGATCAATATTAAAAATTACTGAAACAGTTAATAATAATAATAATGATCATGTCCCGCTTTTGCGATTACTTTGTAATTATTAAACATAATTGAAGCTTTGGAACTGTTCAACCTGACGTTATTATTGATATTTTTTGGTGTATAATTACTGAATACTCGAATTAGTATACCTTCGTAGTTTCTTAGTTGTGAGATAGTGTAAGATGCAGCATGTACTGTTGTTATGTGTTGCGTAAGTAACCTTTAATTGATTACAAATGTATTACTCAGTTCTCTTCAACTGATAGAGTCATTATGCCTGTTTGATAATTTATGAATTCTGTTGATATGTGAACTATAGAACTATGGGATATCTACTAGCTGTGTTGTGTTCTGTTCCGATCGTCAGGCACTTGGAAGTCCTCTGAACCAATTATCGTTAGGAGTTGCTCTCACTTACCTACTTATTTACCCCTGTTACCCACAAAGGAGCATAGGGTCACTTACCAACGTTCTCCAACCTACTGTGTCCTGGGTCTTACCTTCGGGTTCTGTCCGACTGCTGTTCATTCCTCTTATGTCTATCTTCATTTCTCGGCGTAATGTGTTCTTTGATCTTCCTCTTTTCTCTTGGCCTTCAGGATTCCAGGTAAGGTCTTGTCTTGTGACACCGATGGGTGCTTTCCTCAATGTGTGTTTCATTTGTTCTCACCCGTTTGCCTCCTTATCACTGTGTCATTCAGTGGTTAGTAGAAAAGTATTGACACAACACGAAAAATCCGGTCGAAATTATCAATACTTGGACTAGATGGTAACCACAAGTGCCCTGATGTAATTATGACCCTATCAATGGTATTTGTTTTATCATGTTTTTTATCGATTTTCAATAACACCGGCTTGAATAACTAGTTGGAAGAATATGTAAACCGGTAATTTTAACAAAGATTGGTTTCATTTTCTAGTGAAGTACTTAGTTAAATAAGCTCAAAATAATCATAGGTACTTTTAACCGAAATGATAAATATGCGTATATAAGTGATCATGTTAAAAATATTCTTTCTTGAACATTGTATAAAAGTCAGCTATAGTCTTTCAATAAACAATGCATACATGAATATCAGTATCCTCCCCTTTCCTCGACTAAACCGTAAGTGAACTTTAGTAGCAAAAAGCCAGATTTACATTTCGATCATGTGGAATTCATTAAAACAAACCTATATATTTTCATGAGTGATATAATAAATCTTCTTTAGATACGATTACATACAAAAACTTGTTTTTAAAATTTGAGCGATCAAAGATTATTGAACATGCAATTATGTAATATGTCTGAATTTAAAATTGATTTCTGGTTAAATGTTTAATCACATAATGCGGTTAAAACATTTTGAATTTTAATCGATATTATTGCAAATTCGAATTATGTTCACAAACTATTTTTGTTTGGACACATGGATTGTACCACTTATTCGCATAGAGAATGACTAGATTTCAGTGGAGAATGTTGGCTAGTACTTTATATCTAGGTTATATTATAATAAACTTACTGGTCGCCATATGAAACACTTATGATTAGAACTTACGAACTGGGAAATATATGTATATAAATTTATGTAATGTTGAGTCACAATGCAACTTGATCGATAGAATTTAATCAACTTTCAAAGAGCTAAATAAATATGATTGTGAGGTGGTGGAGAAAATTTGTCGCTCAGGTGGATGTTCTGTTCTTTGAGATGGATATTTTGGTTGTGGAGCTTTTATTGATTTTCTGAACAATCAAATCATCAGTCAATCAATAGCAACGTAGAACTTCATACGTATGTGCATCATTTCAAGTTGCCATACCATATTAGCACAGAGATGCAATTGTCAATTTAAATCCCATAGTAGTAGAGGTAGTAAATGTATTAGCAGTAATCCTAAAGATTGAGACCCATCTGACTGGTCTAAATCCCTGTTTGTTCCAATTTATATGAAAGGACAAAAGTCTTCTTGTGAAAATCACAAGGGAATCAGTCTAAATAATATAGTATCTAAAATATTGGCCTCAGTAATACTTCGACGATTAACGAAAGATCGTGAAGAGCAGACTCGAGAAAACCAGGCTGGTTTTCGACCTCGACGAGAATGTATAGACCACATATTAACACTGCGACAGGTCCTAGAACACAGACACACATTTAGGCGTCCGACAATAGTTGTCTTCATGGACCTTAGGGTGGCATTTAACTCTGTGGATCTTGAGGTTCTGAGGCAGTGTCTGTCATTCAAAGGTGTACCAAAGAAGTACATTAACCTTACACAAGCTGTCTACTCGAACACCACTGGTCGAGTGAGGGTTTATGGCGAACTGTCATCGGAATTCTTTACTTCAATTGGTGTCCATCAGGGATGTCCACTTTCTCCATTCTTGTTTAATTTTATCATAGACATGCTCGTAGAAATAACCTTATCCTCGTCTGAATATTCAGGAGTGGACCAGAAAAATCGCTTGCTGACTTAGAATATGCCGATCACATAGTTCTGTTCAGTGAAGACGCTGACAAAATGCAGAGTCTTCTGATCACCTTAAGCAAAAATGCAAGCATGTTCGGGATGCGGTTCTCACCCTCGAAATGCAAAATGTTGTTTCAAGATTGGGTTGCATCGGCACCTGAACTATTGATAGGGAGTAAAGTAGTCGAACGTGTAGACCGCTTCACTTATCTGAGGAGTCTCATCAGTGCCGATGGCCTGGTGACTGACGAAATCTCAGCTCGGATACAGAAGGCTCGATTAGCTTTCGCAAACCTGCGTCACTTATGGTGTAGGCGAGATATCCGTTTGCTGACTAAAGGACGAATGTACTGTGCAGTAGTTCGCTCCGTCCTATTTTATGGCTGTGAAACATGACCAGTGAGAGTAGAAGATATTCGTAGGTTATTGGTTTTCGATCATAGGTGTCTTCGAATCGTTGCTCGTATATCGTGGGACACCCGAGTGAGCAACGCTGTTATTAGGAATCGGGTGCTACGTAAGAATGGCAGATCAACAGATGAAGTAATGAAACTTCATCAGCTGAAGTGGTTAGGACATGTGTTACATATGTCCAACCACCGACTGCCTTGTCAAGCTATATTTTTCGATGTAGGAATAGGTTGGACGAAAGCTAGGGGCGGCCAGACGAAAACATGGCAGAAATGCATGAAGTAATTGACAATTGGACTGGGTCATATCGGTAGGTGTCGAATACCTGGTTGGGGCCCACGAGATGATAGTAATCGATGGTTAGAGACCTTGAATGACATGGCTCAGAATCGTTTGCAATGGAACAGGTGCATACATTCTTTGTCTTCTCTCAAATCCTAGACTTTTTTATTCTTCATCACTTTATCTTCTTCTTTTTAAGTCTATTTCACTGGTTTCTACTTCTTGAATAATATCTTCTAATCCTAACCTCTCCGACTACTGCTAATACCTTAACTACCTCTACTGCTATTGGATTTGAGTTGACAATTACTTCTCTGTGCTAATGTGGTATGGCAACATGAACTGATGTACGTACGTACAAAGTTCTTTGTTTCTGTTGATTGATTGGTTGAGAGTTTGTGCTGATGATGTTGTTCAGAATAACAATGCAAGCTCCACAACCAAAACATCCGGGCTCAGAGAACGAAACTCAACCATAATAACTTTGATCATCAGTTAATGATCTATAGTTTATTAACTTCGAATTATGTTGATTTTTGAATTTAATAGTTTGTATGTAAAATTTTGCTGTCATTACAAAAGGAACTAGCATTTACTGATTTTGCGTTCTGTAATCGATAGACACACCGACATCGATCCTAATTCCCAACTTACAGGCCTAAATTCAATGACCAAAATTCCGAGAAGGAATTCAAAAACGTTTAAAAGATCGTATTATCTTTGCAGATACATTTTTACAGATAGTGTCATTTGGTTTTAGCCTGTTTTAACCCTTACAGACTAAGTTAATATCTCACTTTTACATAAGCTAAACGTTGATAATGATATATCAGGAACACAGATAAAATCTTGGCAATTCAATTATTCAGCTTAGAGAATAAAACAAAGAACTTGAGAGACCTGAACATGTGCTTGATCATTGGTCGCTTGTTAAACTCTAATTGCAACATAGATCTATCGAATTTGAGGTAACTTGAGTAACTGAAATACCTACAACATATACTCTTAAAATATTTATAATTTACAATTTGTATACTACTGATTACAAAAACTGGATCTAGTAGCTGGTACTTCTATTTAATTAATACAACACTGTGTCAAAATGATAATTTTTTCCTTTTAACTAACTGATCGTCGTTAATCTTCAGTGATTAAAATTAAACCTGTACACACAAAAATGGTACAAATCAACTACTATTCATCAAATATTTCTTTATTTCTCGATCTCTTTTTGTTTGCTTTTTTTTGAATTTACAGATCGTGTTTAGCACGTTTATTACAGTTTAGCCTCAAAGTTCGATCGCTTGATTGTAAATTATTGTCAACGGAACCTAGAATGCAGTAAGTTTTGGCAGAAAAATTCAAATTCTTTTCTAAAAAAATTTTGAATGTGCTCACTAGTTAGTAACTAGTCTCTTGGGGAAATTCTCGGCATTCTAGTGAGAAGACGTGCCCATTGCATTTCAACCCCATCGAGTGTAGGCAGTAACTGACGAAGAGAGACAGGTGTGGTCGCGCACAAACCCTAGACGTTGACACTATCAGATGCCGAAATAGTGGTGCAGAGGTCAGGTATTCATCCTCGAAACCGAGAGTTCAGGGTTCGAATCCTGTGTAACAGAAGAAGTTGTGAATGAGCTCTGCTAATGAGGCCCATACCAGGACGAAACGACCAAGTGAAAAACAATTTGTGGATTCATTTCAAAGAAAATTTAAGTTTACGTTGGAGACGTTAGATCCCCAGAACTCACTTGATAAAGGTCCTAATTTTGCATTTTATGCTTTCGCTCATGGACTGATTAGTTCAGCTTGAGATTACATTTCCCACTCAGAAAATCCTTGACTGTCATTGGTTAATGTATTATTTTAATGCGCTATTTTTGTGGCTCTCCCAGGGACGTTTCTATCATGTACAGAGAAATTCGATTTGTGTGCTTGTCAACCTCGATTTTCTAGGTGCTTGTAGAATACACCGTCTACGCCTTATCAAGACTTCTCACTATACTTAGCAAGGCCGAGGACAATCGAATGAGAATAGCCTGTCGTGTCACAATATCATTAGTCTTCTCTCTCTTTTACCGAGTAAAGTGAACTCGTAATAGTTTCAAGCATATGAATTGACGAGCGTATCAGTTAATTCTAACAATTTACTTTGTAAAGGACAACATTTTCAAGTCGTCTGAAGAATTAAGTACTTTATGCGTTGTTATCAAACTATGCTTGATTTGGTAGCTAGAATAATATGAGAACGTCAATATTGAATGTATTCAGTTTTGTTAGGATAGGGATATCACAGTGGCTGATAAGTTACATCACTTCAAGTCCGATAGCCAATAAAAATTACAGAGCTATAGATAGCTGCTTTGTCTGAATCCAATAATCCTTTGCTATGCACATTTACAATCCCACTATATGTATTTGCATACTCATACAAAAAGAGAAATTATCATGAATGAATAGATATTTGACTAATTAGAACAAAGAAATTTTTGGATTCCATTGATTCTTCCCCACATTTATTAATAAAATCGATCGGCTGTGGCTAGGAGTGGAATTTATTAAACTAGTCTCGTGCTCTTTGGGACTCGACATCTGGTTACATCTGCCTTCCACTGTTGACGTTCACACTGGGACTTAGACTCAGTATAGTTCTCTTCAAACTCCTTATCCACTAAACGACTGGGTTTGGAAAAAAATTGCAGTGTGTACAAATGGTTTAAATTAATCCATGATTAAATCTCGATGCATAACATATCACAACTATAAGTTTTTTTTCATAAATAAACAGTTTTCAATTTCAAAACTAATTAGGTTCATTTATCTGTTCATTGTTTTAACTTACCTTTCAAAGATGTTCAGTGAATACAAATGTCAATGGACCGGAATTCATTATTAAAGGACCATGTGAAGAAATTTCCGTAAGTAGTAGTATGATTAAATTTCTGATTTTTCAAACTTAAACATTAAAATTTCGTTACAAGATAAACTAAATAAGTTGGATTGAAGCAGAAGTTGAGTTTTTACATTAGGTTGTAAGTTGTTTCATGAACAAATGAACCGCAACACAATTATTCTAATCGTTAAATATTACTGAGATCACTAACAAACGTAACTTTGATAACTATCGAAATTCAGGAAATACTGGACAACTGTATCATAGTATACGACTCCTAGGCGATGTGTATCCAAGTACAAACATTGTCGGTTCGTGATCTGAACCGCTTTCGTCAATCTCCACAAAGCTCCATACTGATTATTCTCATATAACCACTGGTGTATAATTTCAGTACATTTGATGGGAAGCCTTGACTAATAGGATTCAGTATTTTAGTGAGTGATAGAAGCTAGACATGTAAACTACTTGATGCCACTTCACAGGTCTACGTTTCAAACATTCACCAAGAGATTCAAAACAGTGGTTCCCTTTGATAAATTTGAATAGGGAAATAAGAAGAAATATTTTGTGAGATAGTACCATTTCGTGCTTTCTCGTCAGTCACATACAAGCAACATGTTATTTGTGTAAATACAGTTTTGAAGATAAGGTCAAAATTTCTTATTTAGCATGACATTCACTCACTAGAACCATGGTAAACAAAGGTCAACATACAGTTGTTTTTGAACACATAAAGTTGGGCTTTTCCGACCAATCAAGATAGCTTCGAGTAGTTTGAGTGTGTGTGGGTTTTGATGACATGTCACAACTCTAAAGGCTGATTTTGGGTCAATTTATCAAAGGGAACCACTGTTTTGAATTTCTAAAAAGGAGACTCCCACATTCTACCATCAAAAAGCTGCACCAACTAGTCAACTTGAAGTGTAAATTAATGGTTGAAAAGGTCAGGTTGGAATTTCTAAATAAGTGCATTATTGACAACCACTTCCCATGGATTTATAACAAAATGCTTCGACGAAATAAAGTGCGAATGACAAGTTCGAGTCTGAGGAAGTTAACACGAATTCAGATTGACTCTTGCATTGACAAAATAAACCAATACAAAGAAACTTACACACATTTCATACCACTTATTGAACAATTATCCATCATTTGTCATATTAAACTACTAAACTTCTGCAAAGATATATTAGACAGAACGGCGAACCGAACATGGACGAAACTTAACCAGTCGCTATCAAAGACCCGAACGATTTCAGAATTTCCAGAAAATCTCACAGAACGTGTTCACAACCTATCTAACTTTAATCTTGACAAGGTTCACCTAGAAGCTTTTTCAATGGGACTAAATTACAATGTACCACCTAAAAGAATCGATAAGAATTTGGTGGACGCCAATTTCCAAAACCTCTACAGCCAGTTCTCAAATTTGACTTCAACATCAGCTGAGAATGAGGCATGGCTCAAAGTCAAATTAGTTGATATATCCCAGCAATTTGCAAACACTTCTATCAACTAAATTCTTGTCTAACGAATGAGCACGAGGAAGCATTGAAGGAACTTAAGAACAATTCCACAATAACAATATCCAAACCAGACAAAGGTTCCGGTGTAGTAGTCATGAATAAGGATGACTACATAACGAAAATGAACGTGATCCTCTCAGACTCTGCTAAATTTAAATCAGATTCACAGATCGAAAGCGTGAAGTTGGTCGAAAAACAGATATGCCGAGAACTACATCTACTCATGCTTCATGGTTGTATCACCGAGGCCCATTATAAAATGCTCAAGCCCATTGGTACATGCAAACCACAGATGTATGGCTTACCGAAACTACACAAGCCTACAACACCTATGAGACCAATTCTTTCCATGATAAATTCACCATACCATAAGCTAGCAAAGTGGCTGAAAGAAATTTTGGATCCTGTTTGTTAACAACTGTCGACACATACTATCCTCGATTCCTTTGAACTTCTCCCAACTTTGGAACATTTGAATATTTCTAATAGTCGGATGTGTTCTTTCGATGTAGACTCTTTATTCACAAATGTACCTCTCGAAGAAACTGTGGAATTTATTTGTGACTTCATAACTTCACACAACATAAGAATACCCATTCCGACTACCTATCTTCGAGATCTAATTTTGCTGTGCACAAAGAATATAAAATTCTATTTCCAAGGTAAAGCATATACACAAATCGATTGAGTGGCTATGGGAAGCCCTCTCGGACCTGTTTTAGCAAACATATTCATGGGAATGATAGAAAGGCAAGTGAGTCACTTCATCGATGGTATTACACTTTACAAACGATATGTCGACGATATTCTTGTCATATTACCACATTCTACAGACATTAATGAAATCAATGATTTATTTAATGCGATTCACCCGAATCTGAAAGTCACTTATGAGGAAGAAAAGAATAATGAACTAGCTTTCCTCGATATCCTGCTCCATCGCCGTCCAGACGGATCAATCAGACGAAAAGTACACCGCGAACCCACCTGGTCGGGACAGTACCCCCACTTCACTAGTTTCTGCCCCATACAATATAAACGTTCTGTTGTCAAAACTTTATTCGCTCGAGCAAGTAGAATCTGCGCTGCTGATACATTTAAGGACGAATTCAAGCTTATTACTGACACACTTAAATCAAACGGATATCCCGAAACGTTTATTGGTCATCAGAACACAACTATGACGAAACTGATAGCAACTGATGTACCCAAGAAACCAGTGTACCTACAGTTACCTTTCAAGGGTGATCATTGCATGAAAATTACAACCAAACAGACTGCAGCTGCAATAAAAAAGACCTTCAATGCAGCTAATCTGAGGCTTATCACAACAACTCAATCGATCTCAGTTACCCCAATCAAGTCTCCAAGACCGATTCAGTCCAAATCCCACAGTATTTACCAATTCACATGTAACTGCGGAAAGTTACTTAGGGAGGACAGATCGCCGATTGGAAGACAGGATAGGGGAACATATTCCAAGATGGTTAATCAAATCCATGATTCATCCACCTAGCCCTTCATCTCAAGATCGATCAAGAAACCCAGCCTCGTCCATTGCAAAGCATCCAATTATGAGTGGTCATCAAATTGACCCAAATTCAGCCTTTAGAGTTGTGACATGTCATCAAAACCCACACACACTCAAACTACTCGAAGCTATCTTGATTGGTCGGAAAAGCCCAACTTTATGTGTTCAAAAACAACTGTATGTTGACCTTTGTTTACCATGGTTCTAGTGAGTGAATGTCATGCTAAATAAGAAATTTTGACCTTATCTTCAAAACTGTATTTACACAAATAACATGTTGCTTGTATGTGACTGACGAGAAAGCACGAAATGGTACTATCTCACAAAATATTTCTTCTTATTTCTCTATTCAAATTCACCAAGAGATTTGAATGCTCTGAGTTCGACTTTTGACGGAACTTTACATATAAACTTCTGAAGAGATAGACGCCCGCAAGAAATGTCTTGTTTCCTTTGATTCTTTAAATTAAGTGAGTTCATGATTTTAATAAAACAGGAATAGTTTATTAGTCAAAATGTTTAACAAATTCATTAGGTTCTTAGTGTGTTTTTAGAAATTTCCGAAATATATGTATGGTAACACTTATGAAGCATAAGTATTTAAACTCTTATAGGAATAAAAAAGTCTTAGAAAAGGACATACTAAAGGTTAAGCTTTGTAAGAATTCATAGATTTCCATTAGAAAACAATCTAAGCACATAATCTAAGTGTTTACATAGTACTTATATACCGAATTCATGTATATATTACTGAAAACAGTAGTACAGCTAGAAAAAGATAAAGATTCTTAGCATAGATTGAAAATGTCGGTTTTTTTTGGTAAATAGTTACATAACTACTGACTGACATTTCAGTGCCAATATAAATATGCTGTGACTTTTGTACTATGACTGTATCTAGTTAGAGGTTTTGTTATAGACTGCGTTTAGTGTATCACTACAATATTCTTTAGCTGATATCTACCATATACAATATCAACATTGGTTTCTAATGACTAGATTATCATAAATGAATACGATTCTTCTTATTTTTTTTCATTGATCATTGAATGTTCAATTTATTTGATACTCTCAAAGTATATTCTGATTTAAAGCATTCTTTAAAATAAAACAGAAAGCAGTGATTTTTTAGTATTAGATCTTATAACATGACAATCCTACCAAGTTGTTCTGATTACATTTGATAATCTATAGCAGATCACAGTCATATCGTCATATTAAATCGAAATAATGAACTGCTGAGCACTCTCAGCAAACCTAATACAATTCAACGAATGAATTATAAGTAAGTAGATCTGCTGTGTCGGCAATCCTACTTGGTTTTGAATAAATTTTCGTTTGATAGAGCCTCAAACTTAGCTATCCTCAAGTTTATTAAAGAACTAGAAATATTTAGTAACTGAAAAGTAGGTAAAAGACCAGCAGTATATGTGTAGTGCCTCCACATACATTCGAGTTCGCTTAAATTTGATTTGGTTAAGCCCTTTCCATGAATTTATTTAACCAAGCCATTTGTATAGCAACAATTTATATGTACCATTCGTTCTCATTATTGTCTGGTTTGTATGAGCTCACATGACGTGTCCCACTTGTCTTTTAACCGTGTCAACCATTCGTCGCTTTTATTTATGTGTATGCATGCCTATCTTATTTTTGTTTGACTATAAATTCTTAGTGATGCTTTATCTCTGGGACTTGGCTAACTAGCCTTCTCCACGTCACTTCGTCCGTTTATTCGCCTATTCACTCGCTTGTTTGCTTTCCGGCGCTAGCATGACGATTTTATCTTTTAGCGCTTGTGGTCTGCTATCCCATATTTATGGTGTGCCGAAAATAAACGTATTCAACACTTCGAGGTCACCTACTGATTTATAAACAGTCAGACGATTGTCTGGACGAGCTAATCACGAAGCTTAAGATCACGTTGAAATCGGCCACCACATATGTATTGTAATGTATGTAATCAATTATTCAGATCTAATATGCCAGGTCAATCTGCCTAGATTCCTGGGCATATTTCGTTCCAGTTTACGTAAATTCGTAAAGAAAAATTATCTTTGAATAATTATTGTAGGCTTAATAAAAAAAAACATCAAAACTCAATAAAGGTATTTGTTTCACACTAATATCAGATTGAGAACTTTTGTGAATCAAAAAGTATCATATATTTGTTGCTTTTAAGACTCCAAATCAAATACAATGCACACTAGCTGTCTTATGCAAACCAAACTTCTAGCTTTAATGTTCTACAATTAACATGATACTTATAGGCCACTAACTTGATCTACCTTCATTGCTATCGAGTGTTTTGTGAAGATTTGATTTGTTCTAGCTAGAAAACTATTAGAAACCAGCAAACACTAAACAAACTTTTTCTTTTTAATGTGGATCTTCTCAACAGTGTTCATCCACAACTTGATACTTGATTAATTAACTTTTGAGCTTTATTTAGACCACTTAAGCTGGCTTTCAATAGTCAACACATTTCTAACTTTTGGTTCAACTCGTAATCTGCCTTGATTTGACTTCAAAACAATTTATTTTTAATAGCGCTAACTAATATAATAACTAATTAACATACATCACTAATAATCTCTATTTTTTTGCTGTCGGCATAACTTAACAGGGAAACTTTAAAAAACAAAATCTCTCTGTCTTATATAACTGATTCAATATTTTTTTCGGTATATCGAAAAAAAATACTTTTCTTATAAAAATGATTCATATACACACTGTATGCCACAATTTGCAACTGATTGATTGATTGATTGATTGTGACAAGTGAATACATTATTTTTTTTGTCACGAAAAATATCTTTCCATCAAAACGCCGAAATATTTCAATCATTTTTTTTTATTGACATCGGTTGAGTCAGTAGTTAGGATATCTTCAAAATAAGAATAATAATAATTCTACTATTTAACTCAGTATGGATTCGTATCTCAGTGTTTTGTCTGATCATTACTTTTGTCAAAGCAGAAATATAAATGTTGCCAAATTAAAATTGTTGTATGCAAAATATCAACTTATGGTTATGTATTAGGGGATGATAGATAAAATATATATATATATATATATATATATATATATATGCATATGTTGCAAAAAGTTATGTGTTGTTTGATTGATACTTTCATCATAGTTTATTTATTAGAATGAGGTAGATTAATTTCTTGGCGAGACTGTTTATTATTTACGGACGAACCAATCAGATTTTGAAATCATATTACTTACTTACTAATGGAGCATAGGCCGCCAACCAGTTTTCTCAAACCAACTCTGTCCTGGGTTTCCCTTTCTAGTTCTTTCCAAGTTTTGTTCATTCCTCTCATATCTTTCGCTATTTCTCGGCGTCGTAATGTGTTCCTTGGTCTTCCTCATTTCCTTTTGCCTTGACGGTTCCATGTGACGGCTTGTCTCGTGATGCAGTTCGGTGCTTTTCTTAGTGTGTCCTATCCACTTCCACCACTTCTTCCTGATTTACTCCTCCACTGGAATCTGGTTTGTTCTCTCCCACAGTGCGTTGTTGCTGATCATGTCTGGCCAACGAATCCGAAGTATTTTGCGTAGACAACTGTTAATAAACACTTGTATCTTCTGGATGATGGATTTCGTAGTTGTCCAAGTTTCCGCTCCATACAGTAGAACTGTGTTGACATTTGTATTGAAAATCGTGATTTTGGTTTTGTTTGAAAGTTGTGTTTGGAGTTGCAGATATTTTTCAACTGTAGAAATGCAGCCCTTGCTTTGTCAATCCGCGCCCTCACATCTGCATCGGATCCACTTTTCTGGTCGATGATGCTGCCCAGATATGTAAAGGTGTTAACGTCCTCCAAGGCATCTCCATGAAGATTGATTTGGTTGGTGCATGTTGTGTTGCATCGGAGAATTTTGCTTTTTCCTTTTTGTATGTTGAGACCTACTGCTGCAGAGGCCGCTGCTACACTGGTCGTCTTCTCTTGCCTTTGTTGTTGCGTGTGCGATTTTGAAATCATATATATGACTTGTATTTTGGCGCGAAATTTACCCATTTCACGTGGTTAAATAAATAACATGCTGGTACTATGTTTGATGCCAGTTCGTGACGTGATCCTGTCACTCACATCTAATGCTCTAACTCTAACATTCAGCTCTAATTTTTATTCCTAATTTCTAGCGCTAATTCATAACCCTTTGTTAAGTTTAGTTATTAGGTCTGAATCCTGTATCTCTCATAGATCGTCTATGATATATAGTCTCATCAGAGATGAACACAAATAGAGAATGAATAATTAGTGTGTACAGTTCAGTTGTAACCTTGGGTTGTATTGAGTGAAAGCAAAACTAGAAGTAAATCTTTGATCGGTGACTATGGGAAGTAAAAATCTCTATATACACTTTAGTGGCTGCGTTAAGTTCGATGTCAAGTTAACCGTACTAAACTCGAATTACGGCTCGCTACTGTAGTGACTGTGAATTTAATCTACCTTTCAGTTTACAAATTTCATACTTAGGCGAACACCGTTTGTGCTACAGCAGTAATGAGAAGCCAAATACGAATTCTGTTGGATGAATTTGTTTCACCTATTCCTTTAGGCAGACAGCATGAGAGTGCAAAGTGTAGTCAGATGTAAACAAGCTAGACATGTAATAAGCGAAGTAAGTGATGCACACACACACACACACTGGATTAAGAACAACAAACATATAGGCGAGCAGTTGGCAAAGTTGGAAGACGTGTGAATATCAACACGAGAAGAGTACAGTGATTAAACTGTCCAAAAGCTGAGATAAGCTCTGTACACATGCTACAACACTTTTCGAAATTCAATATTGTGATATTTTCATCAGTTGATACGCTTGAAACTATTACGAGTTCACCTTAGTCGGTAAACGAGAGAGAAGACAAATAATTCAATGACACGATAGGCTACTCTAATCCGAGTGTCCCAAGGCCCCACTAAGTAGAGGAAGATGTCTTTACGAGACGTGTAAAAAGTATATTCTACAACATCCAAAAATATGAGGTTGTCAAGTATACAAATCGAGTTTATTTATACATGATAGAAATGTCCGTCGGAGAGCCACAAAAATAGCGTACTAAAATAATACATCAACCAAGGACTTTCCGAGTGGAAAATGTAATCCCAAGGTTAACTGATCAGCATGAAATCCGAAATTAGGATCTTTATCAAGTGAGTTCTGGGGATCTAATGTCCCCGACAAATATACAATTGTCATCAAAACATAGATGGATAGTGTACATTGATTATGTTAGTAAAACCGATTAAACTCTCCAATAAGCTCATCATAAAATTCAAAATCTTAACAGAAGAAACTCCGATCTAATTCAAGCATTAAATGTGTAGGTTTACTATCAATCGAGTCTTGGAAATAACCAGAAATATAACCAAAATATTATCACGGAGAGTATTCACTGAAACGGTTCATTTCAATAGAACTGCCTTAAACAATTTATATATGGAATTTGATACCGTAGTACCGATAGGCTTCACATAAAAAGGTTACCTGTACACAAATAAAAATCGTTAAGAAACGGAGTCAGCATATAGAAAAAACAATTCGTCACCTCACATCTATAAAACAATGATAACTCTAAAATAAACGCTTTATTCATTTGCACATTGTTAATGAGAAGGTAATCATTGCTACTCAACCGTGTTTAGTGCTTAACATTCCATAGTGTAATCGGTAAATAATGCTTGATTTATGTTTGGGTTAGAATGCAGAACTCCAATGAGTAACACATTCATTCATTTATTGAGTTTCATTTAGAAAGAACAATAGTTTGCCTAAATTTTTTTATGTTATTCTTGGGCTAATCAAAGTGTGATTTGATTTTAACTAATGGGACTTCATAAACTGATGACGCAATAACATGACAGCTAAACGTTTCTTTGCAGCTGAGAGCCCAGTTCACTAGAGCAAGACTTCCGAAGTCAACAAGGGGAATGGATAATCTATAAGTAGCGTCAAGTGACAAAATTCACAAGCTTTCAATTCAAGTGTACATTATACAGTACAAAATGCACGTTAAAAGAGAAAAGTAACCAGTGAGATTGAAAGTTGTTCCACGTGGGAAAAAAAACTCTTAAAGGTAATATTTGTCACAAAAATAAAAAAAATTCCAACTTCCAAAAATAAAATACAAAAATTAAGAAGTTTACCTAACACAATTTCTGGGAATCTAACATTCCCAGCTGTTACGAATACACGTCAACACGTCAATTGATAGGCTTGAACTATTACAAGTTCGCCTTATTCAGTAAACGATAGCGAGGATCGATGATCCGGTGACACGTCAGGTTACTCTAATCCGAACGTTCCAAACCTCCATTAAATAGAAGAAGAAGAAGAAGACTTGTTATGAAGTGGAACATGTGTTCTACAAACATCCAGAAAGTACGAGGTCCGGGTCCAGAAGAGGCTAAGGATCCGGGTCATAAAAGGTTACAAACAATACATATTTATCCGGTTGGGTCGAATAGGAAACAGCATTGAAGTCTGTGACATTGATAGTTAGGACGACCAATAAGAATTGACCAATATAGAGCTAGAGAGAGACTCTTAGTATATTGGATGAATATCTTAATACGCAGCACTCTATAACTTGAAAAAAATGATTTAAATGTTCTTAAATTATCGATTATCCAGAATTTATTTTTGTTCTTCATTTATTTCTTTCTAGCGTTACTATAAAGAATTTTTGAAAAGTATCACTGATGATTTAACTAAAGAACATTTAATACAATCTAAAAATCTATTACTAGAAGAATTGAACTGTCAATCATCCAATCCAGATTCCATTGTTGAGTAAGGAACAATACTTTTTTACTTGTTAATTAGAACAGTTTGTTTAATTAAAGCAGACAAGAATCAATCGTCAAGGTCATAATTAGGCGGCGTGTTTGAAGAATAACCTATCTGTTTTCATAACATTGAAATACGGAACGCTGAGTATTTCATACTGTCCTAAATATAATAATGATGAATAAAGCCATTGTATATAAACACCTTGCGGAATATAATTGTTAGTCTAAGGGAAAATATAAATCTATTTGTTTCGTTTCAAAGAAAGCTTTCTTTCATGTTTATAGTCCGAATTTGTTTTAAAAAATGTGTTGAGAACGTTAGATCCCCACAACTCACTTGATAAAGGTCCTAATTTTTGTAGTTTTATTCTGAACTTTTGAATTTCCATGTGTTCGTGCCAGTTGACCTTCAGCTTACATTTCACCTTAGGAAAATACTTTACTATCATTGGTCGATGGATTATTTTGATATGCTGTTAGTATGGCTCTCCCAAGGGCTTCTCTATCATTGAATAAATAAGCTTGATTTGTGTGCTTAGACACCTTGTGTCTTCTGGGTGCTTGTAGAATACATTCTCTACGCCTTATCAAGACTTCTTGATCTAATTAGCAGAGCCGAGGGGCAAACGGATTGGAATAGCCTATCGTGTCACTGAGTCATTGCTTTCCTTCCGTTTACAGAGTTAGGTGAACTTGTAATAGCACACAAGCTTATTCAGTTGGGGAGCATATCAGAATGAGTCCATATTGACGATTGAACAAGGTGTTCGTTTTACACTACAAATAAATTAAAATGAAGGTCTTGTTTATGTCTATAATTTACAAGGGTTCTCATATTCTACCATGTCATCTACTCCACCTTAGTGGTTAAACCACAAGATTATCAGTATGACGTTTGTAGAGATTAAAGAATTTCCTTGAAATGAAAAATGCCGTTCAGCTTTTACAGATATTTTTGTTGGTTGTCTGATTTAGCTTAGTACGACAATAAAACTTTATGCATCAATTTTAAAGAAATACGCATTGACAGATTTAGAGGGCGCGGATCGGCAAAGCAAGGCATGCATTTCTACAATTGAAAAATATTTGGAACTCCAAACAACTTTCAACTAAAATCAAAATCAGGATTTTCAATACAAATGTCAACACAGTTTTACTGTATGGAGCGGAAACTTGGACAACTACGAAAGTCAACATCCAGAAGATACAAGTGTTTATTAACAGTTGTCTACACAAAATACTTCGGATTCGTTGGCCACACATGATCAGCGACAACGCACTGTGGTAGAGAACAAACCAGATTCGAGTGGAGGAGGAAATCAGGAAGAAGTGGTGGAAGTGGATAGGACACACACTACGGAAAGCACCGAACTGCATCACGAGACAATCCCTCACATGGAACCCTCAAAATTGCTGTTTTTTATATACTAAACATTATTGTTGAATGTTCTTTTTTAAAAATTTTCAGAAATATAAATTCATGTTTATGGCATCCAAATGATTATGTTGCTAGTAGTTTGTTGAGCTCACTAAATTCCTTGTCAATAGCTGATTTGATGGCATTTGAATCGCAATATTATTATCAATTAGAAATCAACATGTATATTGTTGGTGATGTAACATGTGATGTAAGTTAATTGGTTGATTTTGGTGTTTTTTTATTATGACTGAATTTCCATGCAACTGTTTACCGATAGATTGATGATATTTTAGGAGTTAGGTTAAATGCGTTTACTTCAATTAGTAAGATTTTTTATGATTTATGAGATTTATGCTAAATATTAGGAAAAGTATGGTTTTGTGCTCGGTTATTGTCGATATTCTTCAGTAAGTTGAATTGATAGTTTGAAGAAAATGCAGTCTTCTTTTCTTTCTGAGCGAAAAACTGTTTGTACAAAAAGTAGAAAACTTGAGTAAAAGTACACTTATATTTGAATTAGATTCTACTTTGATATCTACCGAACTGACAATGAACTATCTAGTCGGGGCGGCCAGACCTAAACATGGCAGCAGTCCATGAAGTCACTGACTGCTGTTTGTAGGTGTCAACTACCTGGTTTGGGCCCGAGAGATGATTGTAATCGATGGTTGGAGACCTTGAATGACATGGCTCAAAATCGTTTGCAGTGGCGCAGGTGCATCCATTCTTTTGAATCTCTCGAACCCTAATATGAATTTCTCATGACCATCTTTCTCTTCTCAAACTTATTTAATTAGATTATACACCTTGACTACCATATTTAAACCCCAATCTTTATGGTTACTGATCATACTAATACTACTACCCCTACTATTATGGAACTGAAATCGACAGTCGTACCTCTGTGCTATCGTGGTATGGCAACTTGAACTGATGTACTTATGTACGACGTTCTACGTTTTTGCTAACTGACTAACTGACAACATATCTAGCCCATTTAATACGACGCCGAATAAATTCATTCACCTCAGTGAAATAACTTCCTGATTATTTCACAACCGTACGAGAGTAACATTTCTTCTTAGATGAATACAATAGTAAAGAAATTGGCGTTAGTTTACAATCTAGTTCTTTCGATATTACCTTGTAGTTAATAAGATTACTAAGGACATCATTCTCTCCATAACTCATTAATAATAACTGTCACTAGAAATCCGAAATATTCTGTTACTTATTTCATGACAAAACACTGAAACCAGAAAATATCGAATGGATTTTTTTGAATAATGTTTGAATGGAAGGAAAATATTTCTTCTCAGCTTCTTAACAACTTTTGAATCCGTCACATTTATCACTGATTCTACAACAGTTAAATGCCGATGTTTTCAGAGGTGGGTCAGTTAGCAGAACTCAGTTTAAAGTACAACCATTGCCATTCACCTTACAAATGGCCAGCATGTGTGTAAATTTCTCTCCTGGATGAGGCAATGCAAATTTTGTTTAAAAATACGAACTACTTAATAGTTTATTCAGTAACATAAAGTATTATTCTAAAACGTTGAACACGATTATCCTCCGTTTCAGTTAGCCAAGGATTTATTTACCTACACAATAGGATCCTTCAGGTGTAATTCAAAATCTAAAGGGACCAAAAAAGTAAGTTTTTCGGATTATGATTTTGTTTTGCGATTAATAATATACACTACTGAATAAATGAATACTAATTTCAACGAGATAAACATTAAATACTTAGAACATTTGGTTTGAGCCTACTAATAAATCAACATTTAAGAACCCCAGATAAAGCCAAGAGGAAAGCTGTCAGATGTTTAAGTGTTTAATGATAGTTCTTCTAAACTTCTAAATTCAATCAATTAGTAATGTAAAATGTGGATTATGAAATATCTTTGTTAAAATCAGTATCTCAATAGAAATGTAGTAGTTCATTAATGATAATTTATTGATCTCAACTAAACAACTAAACGATATCACTAATATCATGATTATACACTACTTTTAGTGATATCTGTCTCAAATTCGTATAAATAAAGCGATATTAGCTTATTGAAACTGTCCAATGACATTTGGTCAATGTTATTTTATCGTTTAAAATAACTTGATACTACATAATACACCGTAAACTTCTGCAATTGAAAATAAACTACTGTAAAAAATATAGTCAGCATTGTACACTTCTGAAGGGTTCGTCACTAGGTACGCTTGAAACTATTACGAGTTCACCCTAGTCGATAAACGCGAACGAGACAATTACCAGCGCCCAGGTAGGCTACCTTGAATCAATCCCAAGCTGATAATAAAAGTATATTCTACAAACATCCAGCAATCACACAATACAATTAAGCATACAACATCATAGAAACGTCCTTGGGACAGTTACGAAAATAGCACACTAAAATACACAGCAGCCAATCACAGCCATGGATTTTCCTGGTGGGAATTGAAATCACAAGGTCAACTGCACAGTCCATGCTGGCAAACGTGAAATCCAAAATAAGGCATTTATTTATCAAGCGAGTTTTGAGGATCTAACATGCCCAACAACTTCCAATGATCACTGAGAGTTTAATGGATAAATTGCGTTGACTAGTCACCTCGTTCTGTAACTATCGACTCAACTACTCTTGTTGAGCAAGTTACATTGATAAATATTCTAGGAACTTACGCACTCGTGAGCACCTCCCAGTGTGATTAAGTAAAGGTATTGTTAAAACTATTCACACCTTGAACCTAGGTCACTTAATCACAGCCAACATGGATAAATAATTTAAAATAGGGTGTCGTGTCAAAAGCAATCTACCTAGATTGCTTAGTTAGGCTAAGAATCCTTTAGAAAGTCTACAGCTATTCTGATTGCAAAAAAATCAGGAGCTTTGAAGTGCAGAAGAAATATGTTTGAATTTAGCCAAATTTCAGCTCAACTGATTGATAGTTAGTTTTATTTATCACAATGTATGAGATAATTTGATTCATGTGTGCGCAAATTTTCCACTTTACATTTTCATAGCCTAAATCTATCTTACTGACACTTATGATTGTAATTATGACACTTGTCAGTGTTTGAAGAACAACATATTCAGCATTTATCCCTATCTACTTGTTCTTACCGCATTCATAATTTATTTCATAGATCACGTGATTCCTGATTAGTAACTACTCATTCCATTTAGGCATTATCAATAGATGTGTTTAGTAGCTGGAAGTAACTGACAGGAATCTGTAAGTTCAGAGTTTCCTGAATAAAGTTAGACAACAATTGGAATCACTGGACAGTCATCTCATTCTAATATGGAACTTCAGATTTGTTGTATGCATTGAAGATTTCAATTAGGAACCCGTTTTTAGCTTTTCAAAAGGGTTTCTATCTTGGATCCATTTTTTTGAAAATTAAATGACATCCAAACTATAGAGGTAGGTAGGTGGGTGGGTAATAGTCCTTTCAGATGTTATTCTTCTAAGATGTCGAGTGAAATATTCATACAGACAGATTGATACATTATAACAAAATTGGTCAAATGTAATTAACTTAATATTAATTAATTGATCAATTGAACAGTCAGTGTAAGGACCAGTTTAAAAAAAAAAATCGCAACATGTTGATGATTGACATATATACTAACCATTGATTACATTTTGCTATACAGATTGATTATATTTCACTTCGACCTGGCATTTATTATCATTCGGTACCGATTCAATCAAATGATGAAAAGTTTCGTCAACTTATTCAATTTCAACGAATTGAAAATCCTTCACCTATAGATGAATTTTATTGTAAAATAATCACGGTAAGTTTCCAGAGGAAGAAGAAGAAGAAGGTATAATTGACATTTTTTTTTGTATGTTTTTCCATCACACTGAAAAATGATTTCAATGCGTAAAAATTAATGATCTCTATAACTTTAAATGAAAAATCATACGTTATGGGCTTACTAGTGACTCACTTCATGAGGAGAAAATTCTCAGAGCTCTAGTCAGAAGACGTGATCAGTGGAGTTCATCCCTGTCGAGTGTAGGTAGTAACTGCTGAAGACAAATCGATGGGGTCACGCACAAATCCTAGATTAATCAGAGATTGAGATTAACACCATCAGATACCGGTCTAGTGGTTCAGAGGTTAGGCATTTGTGTGCAAGATCGAAGGTCCTGGGTTCGAATCGTACGAGTGGCAGAAGTCGTGCATACGCACTGCTAATGAGTGCTATACTAGGTGCGAAACGGCCGTTTAATACTTCCAGGTTTCTCATGGTGATCTAACAATGATTACAGTGCGTAAAAACAATGGTTTCCATAAATCTGAAAGAAAAATAATCTTTGTGTACTGAATTCTTTCGTCAGTAAGGTACTAACTACTTGAGATGGTCAGATCAACTTATTTATATCCTTTCATTGATATTGAATTTCGAAGAAATTATTAGGCCATTATTTTTTCAACTGCATGGAGCAATTCTTAATTTCACTTGCCATACATCTGTAATTTTTGGACTTTGGGGCAGATTGACTTGAATCTGAGTCAGTGCTGTTGTTAATAGCAGTTCAGCAATCTCCACAATCACGTACTAATAGTTTATACTAGAACCATAGTTTGTTACATTAAAGGATTGTAGAGATTGTTCAATCACATTACAAGTGTGAATCGATCAATGCTAGACGAACTACAAAAACCTGGAGCCAGTGAGTGTTCCTTTCGTTCTAGCGTAAGACTCAACGGTGTATATCTGCTACTCCTCCCCCGCACATGGAAATCCAACCAAAAACTTTCAGTCTAGCGCGCGAACGCTTAAACTTTAGACAACTGAGCCAACCCCCAGCGGTTTTAGTGACCAGTTGTAATCGATCCACGATATTGCGTCAGTTCATCCATTTTCTTCAGTGGGTAACTACTTCACACCCGACATAGCTGAACTCCACTGGTCACTGCTTTAACTAGGACTTCGAGAATTTACTCATGATGCTAGTCATTTGTGAACACATGGGTTTGATTCCCGCTTGCAGGGTTTGTGGATGTTTTTTGCTGGCGATTTCCATGCTGGTCGAAAACAGTCGCCCAGTGCTTCCAGGATTCTAATGGTGATCTAATGTTAATTGATTCATGACTTTGATAATTTTTTAAATTTAATCTATTTACGCGAAGAAGAGTCTACAAGTTTTAGTTGGCCATTCACTTTAGCAGTGTTGTGAATATAGGATTCAAAACAGGATTCATTTTTCGAAGTTTTCTAACTTCATTAAGTAATGGAAAGTGATCAAAATTACATTAATGGGATCCAATAACTACTTTTCATTAATTATTCACAAATCAACAGGTTTTGTAAAATATTTAATAACAGGCAACTATAGCTGAACGCGAGAATGAATATTTTAGGTTTGATTCGAGCCTATGAGGTCGTGGGTGCTTACTTCTGAATAGTCCCATATTGGGGTGAAGGGGCTATCAACGCCTTTCAGATTTAACCGTAATCGCTTTGTAATTCTATTGAAGACGTAAAGATTGTAGTAACTCAATAAAAATTGCCTAAATCCGTTCCTTTATTATTATCGCCCTGATAGGAATGACAATTTAATATTTATAGGAAAATGCAAACGAGGCGTAATTGCTTATTTTTCCAGTACTCATCTCAATAAATATAATTGAGATAAAATTAATAAAATCACGTTTACCTACTCATGAGTAGTGTAAAATTATTTATAAAAAATATCAAGAAACTCTCATTACTCATGTTATGTCGAAGGCAAACAATCTTTTCTAGAAAAATATTTCTTAATGAACTTTCTAATCTTTCACTGTTCGATTAGATGAAATTTAATTTGCCTAACATGTTACCAAATCTTTACAAACATGTTTGTCAAATCACTCAGATAATAGGCGACAAATAGCATTTAGTTCAATAGTTCATGGAATTCAGTTTGAAGATGACTGTCATTATAAAGCAGTATTAATTTTGAAGCCACTGGGAAATACTTAAAGCATGCTATTATTCTTTTAAATTTCAGTTTTATTTATCAGTAGCATCCATTTTATCACAGAATTGAGACCATGGCATTAAGTTTACAGTGTAATTTAACTTGATGGAAAAATGTTAAACAACCATCATTGAAACCAATAAACGTGTGTTCATTTGTGATTCCTCATCAATTTTATCTGAGTTTAGCAGAATTCAGACAGAATACAAAATACAAAGACAGAATACAGAACATTATACAAAGTAGGACAGTAGCCCATTACAAATTATAACGATGATCGTGTTTTACATATAACTCAATGAGGAGCGTTATAATTTAGTGCAGTTCTCTCAAAATATTGCGTTCGTCGTGTGTTCTGACAATTAATACTAGGTGTTTACACTATGAAGCAATTTAAAACTGAACCCAAAATGCCTAGGTATGGCTGAGGATGTGGAAAGTCCGCTGTCTTTCTCTCCCGAATTTCTGTCATAGTTCCATGCTTTTATAGCCACTACCAGGAACGTTTTACTCACTACTTTCTCGTGGCAGGGTTGTTATCTAAGAGATTTAGAGGGCGAATAAAGAACATCTAACGCTTGAACCAAGTTGACTGTCATGGCGTATCCATATAAGGGAGCTGAGAAACCCTTAGTTCAAACTAATTTTGCAGATAAGCTCCAGGATTCTGACGGAACAAACGACGTTTACATCCATTCTGGATCATCGGGTATCATGGAACTACATCTCCTTACATCGCTCCACTGCCTTTTGTGTTAGACCTTCGGATCAAAGGCTCAAGGTAACCATTCTAGCTCATACACAAGTTCATTGATTCCCATTGAGCATATGTATTTTGGTGCTCCCTTGTGCCAAAGTTTATGGATTCTAAATAAAAATTAATTAAATGAATAAGTAAGACTAGTTTTAAACTAGTATTTAATGATATACTGATTAATCGAAATACTCAAATAACCGGTACCCGAGAAGTGAAGTATTGATTTTTTTCGCGTTTAAACAATCTTTACAGGAATTGATTCCTTTGCTTTCGTAAAGCTGAATATATCCATTTCTACTTGTTATTCCATAATACTTATAATTGCCCGGGCGTAGTGGTTTTATTAAATCAACTCATACATTCATATAATAGCCAGTAGGGCTTATCTATGAGATGGTGGAGAAAACTTGTAGCTCAGGTGGATGATTGTGGTGGTGTTTTGTTCTCTGAGCTGGTTGTTTTGGTTGTGGAGCTTTCATTGTTCTTCTGAACAACATCATCAGCACGAACTTCAGATAGAAGTGAAGCATTAGAATTTCTCCACGTTTGGCCTGTAGCTTGTTCTGCTGACCTCGATCTTGATTGGTTGTTGTTGACATTTGACCTGTCGTTGTTTGCAACTATGTTTTGATTGCCTCCCTCTTTTGATCTGTTTCTTGATCTAGTGTCACCTATGATTTTCCTGATTGGTTGATAAATTGGGTCAATGTCGATGTGTTTGTTGATTGCTAATTGACCTGAGTGCCAAGCTTCTAAAAATTCTCTAGTGTTCTTTGTCCTCCCCCTACCTAGTATTTCCACGTTGTTCCAATCAAATGTGTGTCCATAATTGTCGGTGTGTATTGATATAAGCGAAGCCTTGTCGTGGCGTTTGACTGCTAATTGATGTTCACGTAAACGGAGCTGAAGAGGTCGTCCACTTTGTCCTATGTAGTGTTTTTCACAATTTGAGCAATTTATTTTGTAGATGATATTTGGTTTTTCTTCCTTTGTCATTTTGTCCTTTGGTCTACATAGGATTGACTGAAGTGATTCCGTTGGTTTGTGTGCCACACCTATTCCAAATGGTTTCAGTAGTCGTGCCGTATGCTCTGATATGTCTTTGATGTATGGTAGGATGATGCGTTTATTTGTTCCTGTGCTTGATTTCACTCCTGATGATAGTTTTGGTTGATGTTTTTTGATGAAGTTGCGTGGATAGCCGTTCTTTTGGAAGATAGTCCTCAGATGTTTTTCCTCGTTTTTTAATGTTTCGTATGTGCTGCAGTGTGTCTTCGCTCTCTTGAACAGAGTTTGTATGCAGTTGATTTTGTGGGTTCTTGGGTTGTTGCTGTCGTAGTTGAGAATTACGTCGGTGTGGGTTGGCTTCCGAAATACTTGAGTTTCTAGTTTTCCTGTGTTAGTTCTGGTGATTAGTACATCCAGGAATGATAGGCTGTTGTTTGATTCCTTTTCCATCGTGAATTTGATGTCCTCAAAGACGTTGTTGATCTGATTGTAGATGTTCTCCAGCTCATTCCTTTTGATAATAACGAATGTGTCGTCTACATAGCGAACCCACATTTTTGGCTTGATCACTGGCAGAATCGACGCTTCCAGTCTCTGCATTACCGCTTCGGCGATGAGTCCTGATATTGGTGATCCCATTGGTGTTCCTTTTATTTGTTCGTAGACTCTGTTGTTGAACTGAAGATATGTTGTTAAGCATAGGTCGATGAGTTCAAGCAAACTTTGACTCTGAAGTTTTGTATATTTGTGTAGATTTGTGTCGTTGGTGAGGAGCAGAGAAAGAGTTTCTTTGGCTAAGCTTGGTTCTATTGAGGTAAATAAGGCTGTTACGTCGAAGGATATCATCATTTCGTCGTTGTCAATTTGAATCCTCTTGAGTTTATCCAAGAATTCTGTGGCCGACTTAATGGAGTAGTTGGATTCATCCACCAGATGTTTTAATATCCTTGAGATCTCTCTTGATAAGTTGTAGGTCGGGGTTCCGGGGAGGGATACAATAGGACGTAGTGGGATGTTAGGTTTGTGGAGTTTTGGCCTACCGTAGAATCGTGGAATTGTTGGTCCATTGGATTTCATTCTCCATTGATCTTGTTTTGATATTTGTCCTGTTTTGACAAGCCTATTTAGAGTCCTTGAGATTTGATTGTCCAACTTTTTTATGGGGTTTGTGTCGACTGGTTTATATACGCTTTTGTCCTGAAGTAGCTCCTCGGCTTTCTTGACATATTCCTCCTTGTCCATGATTACTGTTGTGCGTCCTTTGTCCGCTGGAACTATGACTATATCTTCCCTGGTTTTGAGTTTCTTCAGAGCTTTTCGTTGTTGTGCTGTTAGTTGGTTGTTGTCTCTCTTCCGTCGAGTTAGTGGTACTATGGTTTGTCTTATTTCTTGTTGAGTTTCTTCACTATTCCTCC